CCGGCCAGATACTCTTGTTACACACAGGTGCCTCATAGTCATTCTCTCCAGGCCATAGTAATCTTGTTTCTCAACTAATTCCGTTGTTTGTTCCCAAAGGACCTTGACTACATCTGCCTTGCCATGGATCAATTCACCACCCGGTGGTGTAGATCCAACCAATCTGCCTGTCTGTTCTTTACTCACCACGCCGGCATACCCTGGAGAAAAGATCCAAAGTATACTCACTATCCATGACCTTCCCAGAGAAGCTCGCCACTCAGCTGGAAGCATCCTTGTTTTTTGAAAGTGAATAAATATATATAATCCAGTCTTCTGTGTCGACCCAACCTAAACTTGATATCAGGAAATTTTACAGAAAGAAAAGGGGGTAGGTGTTATGTAATATATTGATCGTATATTCCATCGAGTGCCGACTGACCAATTGGTCTCAACCAGTGGTTGTAAAACTGGTAGGCGCGCCCCCAAGAGGCGCAATTTTAGCTGTACTAATCTGTTATAAAATAAAAAGTAAAAGGACCGTTTTTCACACTTCAGGCGTATTGGGCATATAGGGCTAGACCTATATTTTATAGACTTAGGGCGATATGAGAGTCTTGCCATATGATCAGAGAAAAACGCCACGTGGAAAAGATTGAAAACCACAAGTCTGAGCGTAACTATGGGGCTAACACTATTACCGTGTGGAGTCGCCGTGGAGATCAGAAGGTCGTGAGTTTGCTCCTGGTGGAGCCGGACTTTAACAAAAAACAAAAAAACAAATTAACTCGGCTCCCAGGTCGACCCAACCTTCAGTGGGTACCGAGTGCAGTCCCGGGAAGTAGAGGCGGCCGGCATGATACTGACAACATCACCCATCTTGTGCCGATTGGTCTATAAAAATATAGGTCCAGCCCTATATGCCCTATACGCCCAAAGGCGTGGAAAAGGGTCCTTTATTTTTTTACTTACTATCACCGTGTGTCAGATAATACCTCAAGGTATGAGGATATACGTTTTGTTTGGTAATCACCAAGTAAGAACAGCGGGATCGAGCGTGACGTTTCATTCTTCTTCTTCTTCGCTGTTAAAAGTGCAGTTACCACATTGTATTGTGGTTTACAGCTAGACTTCAATGTATGTACCTTTCAGCTCAGTAGACCCTATTTCAGCAAAAGCTTAATTAGTTAACTTGTACGTCATGCTCGTTACGGGGAGAGTGGGTCTTACCACACTTCCCGTAGGGCACTGACAGCCACAATCTGGACGTTATTTTAGTTACTTCTTATGTTGTGTACACATCAGTTGTACAAATCTTTCTTACGTGTGCAGACTTTTGGTTTCTTGCCTGTCAGGCAGATGAACGACTTTAAAATAAAACCCTAATTAGTCGACTATTACGACATGCTTATCAGGGAAGCAGCGGGACTAGTCTTGTCTTCCCCATAATTGGAGCTCTGGAACCCGCACGGGGAGTTTTAGTTACTAAAATTCAAGCAGACCATCTCTTCAGAATCCTGGTTTGCTCTACAACCCCACATACACAAAGAATAGACCCACCGTCTTCCTATGAAAGGCGACTAATTCGTGATTTTCCCTCTGAAGTCAGCGCGCATCTGCCTGAAAGACGAGGAACCAGCAGTCTGCATACAAATAAGCAGATTTGTAAAATAGATAGATGTGTATGCAAAATTCAAGTTCTGGATCAGACCTAAGTCCAGAAGATGACGAACAACCAGAATTTCCGCAAGAGTTTACAGCTAGTCAACGCTGAGAAGAAGAAGAAGAAGAAGAAGAAGAAGAAGAAGAAGAAGAAGAAGAAGAAGAAAGAAGAAGGAGGAAATTGACAGGGGCCGAGAATCTCTTTCCCAGGACATCCCAGAAGTGACCTACTGCCAGGGACATGCTAAACAATGAATATGATTGTTATTTGTTCACATTGTTGAGTATGTTATGTTATGTTATGTTATGTTATCACAATCAACGTCACTCATGCGTGCTCAATCCCCCAATGCAGCAGCCACTCAAAAGTACTTCTACTAATTATTACTATAAGAAGCTGGTTAAATTGTCTCCTATATCGGTCTCGAAGACGGCATAGACGTGCTTCACATGCTTTACTCCTATGTCACGCAATCGTGTTAATGTCAAGGATTACAGCGTTGACGATATCTGCTTTGTCCATGCTTCTTCCCACATGCCTTAGTGGAATCCTGACCAGTTGGTCCGCTCGTTCATTTCCCTTTACGTCCGCTTGACCAGGTGTGTAGATCCAGGTGAGGCAGGTTGTTAAGTATATTACATATGTTGATATCCTTGCATTAATATTTGTAAAATTTATTTCAGAATAGAGTGCCAGAGGGATGAAGCCTTGCAGAATTTAATGGAAACTCAGAAAATGTTGGATAACTATCAGCGTTGCATGTTGGACAAGATTAGAAAGGTTACATTTTCTAGATTTCTTACTGTTCTGTTCCTTATTGTTTGTGGCAATGATACTTTTCATAAAACTTATCCCTGGAAGAATATCTGACACCGACGTCTTCTCAGAATGGTCAGTGACAGACAATTGAGGAGCTTTAAGAAAGTAGGCGACTGGATCGCCTGCTGACTCGCTGGTAGACGACTTCGTCGCTGGCAGGGACAGTATTTAGGTTTGTATCCATTTGATCGCGTCAACACTGCAGGGGGGTCGTTTTCAGAGCTTTTGGTGGCGTGTGGTGCTAAGCCATTTTATCAGTCGCACATAACCTAGTCACAATTATAATCTAAAAGTCCCTTTGGGGACGCTGGTTGAAAGTGACGATTTTTTGTCCCCCCCCCCTCCAAGCAAAGCACCTACCCACTATTTAGCCAAATCAATAGGTTTTAATACCTACTGTTCAGTGAATCGACATGACAAGCCATTAAAACTCTAAAAATATGTTATCTGTCGGAGCGAGGTGAGTCTCTAAAGAGCTGACCTCATAGATTGGTTTTCCAGTAAAATTAAGAGTAAGATGAGTCTGTGTTCTATCACGTTGGCTTCTTGTCATATGCATGGGCAGTATCGAACAAAACAGACGCCATACCACCAAGAGTCGATGAACCAGAAGACATCGATGAGCTGCTCTTTGCTGATGAAGAGGAGGAAAAGTGAAGGAATACAGACTTGTCTCATGATCCGGTGACAACATACAATTCCCATAAGGACTATGTAGCAGAGCTCTTGTGGCGCAGTCTCCTAAAGGATACCTAGGTTTTGATGCCACCCTACAAGGAAACCAAAACAGCGCTAAAGCAGTCTTTCAAGCAGGAGTGGAGAAGGCAAAATGGAGATTGCAGGACAGAGAGTGACAGCATAAACAAACTCAACAGGAAAGAACAAACATCAATTTTTAGACTCTGGACAGGACACTGTGGTCTTCGAACACACCTGCATAGGATAGGCATACAAGAATATGCTGCCTGTGATTGTAGAGCAGAAAGACAGCCCCCCTGAGCACATACTACAGTACTGCCCTAACCTCTCCCAGAAAAGACAGTGGATCTGGCTCAAGGGAGCTACATTGCAAGAGAAGCTATTGGGGGTTGGGGGGGGGGGGCTGTGGCAACCTTAAACACACAATCCTGTTTGTGACCCAGACGAGAATCAGTGTTTAGCATGACTGATGTCGAACGCAGAAGAAGAAGAGCAAGAAGAAGGAAGAAGATACTATCCTTGGTGAGGGTAGTATGTCGGTCTGTCTATGTAGACGAGGCCGAAACTTTGTCCAGCGTGTGTTCTTTATTTGTTGACGGTGGTCAAATTGAATGACTGGACTCTAATTCTCTTATAAGGTTGTCACAGATTTTGTTATGTATGTATCCGCACAAAAGAGGGAATTAAATGGTGTGATAGAATCGCTAATGTAGAGCTTGGGGTGAGAACTAAACTTCGTTAATTGGATTTGTGTAACAGTGGCCATCTTCCCTGATAACACTGTTACATCTTCTGTGATAACACTGTCACATCTTCCCTGATAACACTGTCACATCTTCCCTGATAACACCGTTACATCTTCCCTGATAACACTGTCACATCTTCGCCGATAACACTGTCACATCTTCCCTGATAAAACTATCACATCTTCCCTGATAACACTCACATCTTCCCTGATAACACTATCACATCTTCCCTGATAACACCGTCACATCTTCTCTGATAACACTGTCACATCTTCCCTGATAACACTGTCACATCTTGCCTGATAAAACTGTCACATCTTCCTTGATAACACTGTCACATCTTCTCTGATAAAACTGTCACATCTTCCCTGATAACACTGTCACATCGTCCCTGATAACACTGTCACATCTTCCCTGATAACACTATCACATCTTCCTTGATAACACTGTCACATCTTCCCTGATAACACTGTCACATATTCCTTGATAACACTGTCACATCTTCCCTGATAACACTATCACATCTTCCCTGATAACACTGTCACATCTTTCCTGATAACACTGTCACATCTTCCCTGATAACACTGTCACATCTTCCTTGATAACACTGTCACATCTTCCCTGATAACACTGTCACATCTTCCTTGATAACACTGTCACATCTTCCTTGATAATACTGTCACATCTTCCTTGATAACACTGTCAAATCTTCCCTGATAACACTGTCCCATCTTCCTTGATAACACTGTCACATCTTCCCTGATAACACTGTCACATCTTCCCTGATAACACTGTCACATCTTCCCTGATAACACGGTCACATCTTCCCTGATAACACTGTCACATCTTCCCTGATAACACTATCACATCTTTCCGGATAACACGGTCACATCTTCCCTGATAACACTGTCACATCTTCCCTGATAACACTATCACATCTTTCCGGATAACACGGTCACATCTTCCCTGATAACACTGTCACATCTTCCCTGATAACACTGTCACATCTTCCCTGATAACACTGTCACATCTTCCCTGATAACACTGTCACATCTTCGCTGATAACACTGTCACATTTGTTATTGTTTATTTAGATGGAAGTGGTTGAGACTGAGTTGAGGGAAAATCTCACCAACATCACACAAGAGCGGGATGAGTTCAGTGATCACCTCACGGACATGCAGATGTCTTTAACCTCACAAGAAGCTCAGATCAAGTAAGAGGAGCAGCCGTCGTCTCAGTCTTACATGCTGATCATTGCTTGCATTGTTTTATTTTTTTTTAAAAACTGGAACTCATACTTGCCATTGTATTGTTTTATGTTATATGAGAAGAAGATTTGGTCAGCAATTTAGACAGCATCTTCTTCTTCTTATCGTTCACCGGCTGTACACTCTGATGAACAGTTCTGGTTGTTCGTCCACTTCTAGACTTTCACTTTCTTACAGAACTTGAGGTTTTTGTGTGCGTGTGTGTTTTACATATCTAGCTTATTTGCAAGCAGACTTGCCTCTCAGAAAAATGCACTCCGACTTCGAAGGAGACACCTCATCGTCTAATGTTAGGGGCGCGGGTTCCAATTCTCAGACAGCCTTAAAGAGAGGAAAGAAAAAAAAAACAGCATTTGTGTACTCAACTTTAAGAAAGTGTTGAACATTCATCTTTGGTAATGTGGTTAGAAGAGAAGCACTATGGAGCACAGTGTTGACTAAAAATATCGGCGAAACCTAGAACACAAATAGTCATCAACTGGAAAGATAAAGCAAATACCACAGATGAACAGAGGCAGATGCTATCTATAGCAATGAACCTCAAGAGTTGGGAATGCTGAAGACGAAGAAGAGGTAAACAAAGCAGTTTTGCTAGATGGTCTAAGGCAGTAACATGGAGGTTTATCAGTAGAGTAGATTCTGAAAACAAATGACGATATCTGTGCAAAGACAAGAACGTCTGGATTGTATGGTAAAAAGCATGATGATAATGATGATGATTTGTTTGAATATTTGAGCTTCGAAAAAGGGAAAAAAAAAATACTTTCACACTTACATAGCCATAACACACAAATTATACACATGCGTACACACTTTTATACCCGTACACATAAATCGTAATGCCTATGTACACACTTATATACACATCATCATCATCATCGTGTATATGATGCAGACCGTCGCTCTCATCACAGTCTGCCTGAAAGAAACTCGTTCACTCGCCAGTTCTCCCCCCTTATGTACTTTCATACTCAAGGAGTCACTTATATCACGTGCCCTATCTTCGTGTCGGTCGGCCCCTGCCCCTCCTTCCTGGTACCCTGCCTTCCGCTAAATTTGTTTTCCAATCCGTCATGGCGCTTGATATGACCAAAATATTTCAGCTTCCGAGACAGGATGCTGTTTATTAGCCAATCTTCCTTGATATTCAGATCTTTCAAGACGTCAGTATTTCTCCTCTTCTTTGTCCAATATATTATGAGAATCTTTCTATAGCATTTCAGCTCAAAAGCCCGTATATACACATACACTAAATACTTACACACATATTTACATGCATACATACTTAATATTCGCATATGTACACACACATTTGTGGAAGGAGGGATAGAGGAAGACAACGAGAGAAGATGCTTGACAGTCTTGTTGCATGGCATGGAGGTGTGTCGGCACACGAACTGATACATGCTGCAGGAGATTGCGGATTATGGAGAGGAATGATCGCCCACGCCAGTCGGCAAGGCACCTGATGATGATGACACACACTTATAAACATATAATTTTGCACACACTTATAAACATATAATTTTGCACACACTTATTTGCACATACATTCTTATATATATACATATATATATATATATATATATATAATATATAAAATACAACAGACACACACACACACACATATATACACATTTATTTATGCAGATAATACTAAAATGCAAAGACATTTCTACACACATACTTATATACACACTTATATACATTTACATACTTACACACACAAGTGTATGTTTACATAATACTTAACACATATACAGATTTAAACATAGACTTACACACACATTTATAACAGACACATACACACTTATTACCTACAGACGCACACACTTACATTACCACATACTTGCCGACACATGTAAGCAAGTACACAAATTTACTCAGTCTTTCATTATTTCCCTGAATAAAGTTATGAACACACATTTCTACTGTGTTGATAAAATTTGTAACCAGATTCTGCTAAATTTTTTAAAATTTTGTTTCCACTGACAGTCGTCTGCTCAATGACCTTGAGATGGAAGAGTCCAAGAAACAGGAAGTTGAGAAAGAAAGAAAGAAGCTGCAGGAACAGCTGGAGCTTCTAACAGAGCAGCTCAGTGAGCGTTGTTTCTGAAGTCTGTTGATTGTCAGTGACTTGGACTGACTGGAGGTGGGAGGGCTTCTAGGGTCCCATGGTAGGGAGAAGCGTGGGAGATAAGGGGGACTAGACCTTCTTCTTCTTCTTCGCGTTCACCAACTGTACACTCTGGCGGAAAGTTCTGGTTGCTCGTCCACTACTGAACTGCAGTCCTGCTCCAGAACCTGAGTGTTGCGTGTGCATCAGTTTTACAGATCTCATTCGCTTGAATACAGACTGTTGGTTCCTTGCCTCTCCGGCAGATGCACTCCGACTTCAAAGGAAGCTCCCCAGTTAGTCGACTCTTACGACATGCTTTTGGGGAGGCAGTGGGTCTATTCTTGTTTTCCCCACAATGGGGCCCCGGAACCCACACGGGGGAAGGAGTAGACCACATGCCGCCGCCCCCTCCCCTAACAAGCATGTTAACAAAGTCGAGCAACTTTGAGCGTTTCCTTCGAAGTTGGAGTGCCTCTGCATGCGCGGCGAGAAACAAACAGATATACATAAGCTGTATATATATATATATATATATATATATATATATATATATATATATATATATATATATATATATATATATATATTTATATATATATGTATATATATTTTTAAAAAAAGAAGGAAATGCAGACAAAACTCAAGTTCTGGAACAAGGCGGAAAAAGAAGTGACTACGCCTTGTGTTGAATTCAGACACCTTAATATGCCTCACCCGTGCAGGACAGCAGCCTGCTTGGTGTAACCTTAGGGGACCCTTAGGGTGTTATAACTGTTTGTTGAGGATGAGTGTCAGGGTACACTTTTATGAATGAAAGCAGAAGAATTATCTCGCTCTCCTGAAAATAATATTGTAATCTGTCAATGTCTTTGTGCTTTCAAATGTTTTTATTTTAGCAATGATAGTGATCTTTATATATTGTTTCTAGAGCAGATTTTTGTGAACTCGTAAATCCACTGCCGATTTGCTGGACCTGACACAGATTCATCCTTAAGAGAACACTGGAAAACACGTAAATCACATCGAGAACACTGAAAAATGTCACACCCGTTGAATAACACACACATACATACAACATGAAAATCGAAACACCAAGAGGCAGGGGAAGACCAAGAAGAAGATGGATTGAAGGAGTCACGGACAACTTGAGACTTCATAACATCACGGCATATGAAGCGACTGAGCGCGCCCTGGCTCGGTTGCCGATCATCTGATAGACTGCGACGCCCAGCGGCACAAGCAGATTTTGACAAAAGAAGAAGAAGTGATCTTTCATAGCGTCTAGTAAAGTAAAGGACCCTTTTCTACGCCTTCGTATAGTTGTCGTATAAAGCTACACCTTTTTTTTATAGATCTATTGGCACTCGCTAGGTGATGTGGTTAGCTCCTCGTCGGCCACCTTTATTTCCTAGGACTTTACCTGGTACCCACACGAGGCTGGGTTGACCTGCAGGCCAAGGTCATTTATGAAAAAACGGTCACTTTAGAATCCACGACCTTTGGATCCTCAGATGAGCATTTAGCCTCTACACAACGATGTCTCCCTCAGCTTCTAATGTATTTACAAATCTGTTTACAGAGTCACTGCAGATATAAACTATCAATCAATTCTTGAATTAGGTATGCATTCTTTTTATAGCCGGAAATGCCTGATCATGGCTGCAATGCAGATGCAAAGGACCTGATCATGGCTGCAATGCAGATGCAAAGGACCTGATCATGGCTGCAGTGCAGATGCAAAGGACCTGATCATGGCTGCAATGCAGATGCAAAGGACCTGATCATGGCTGCAATGCAGATGCAAAGGACCTGATCATGGCTTCAATGCAGATGCAAAGGACCTGATCATGGCTGCAATGCAGATGCAAAGGACCTGATCATGGCTCCAGTGCAGATGCAAAGGACCTGATCATGGCTCCAGTGCAGATGCAAAGGACCTATTTTTTAAAAATAGCTCAATGAGAGTTATATATTTTTGTTACTTACTAGTCATGTAACTGCTGCTCACAGTCTGCTTGAAAGACTGTGTCATCAGCATATTTCAGATCGTTTATATTTCTTTCATTTATATTATTTATTCATTCAGTCCAGAAAATTCTCCAACTTTAAAAAAAAAAAGTCATTTCCTCATAATTTTTTTTTCAGAAGTGAAATATCTGTAAATTTACTAGTTTGTTGTACCACAGAAACATTTCGTCATGTAACAAGGTCTTTACTTTTTTTTTCTTCTTCCTGGCGTTCAACAACTGTTAACTCTGGCGAAAAGTTATTGTTGTTCGTCCATTTCTGGACTGCAGTTATGTTCCAGAACCTGAGTGTTGCGTGCGCATCCATTTTACAGAATTGACTCATTTTATATGCAGACTGTTGGTTCCTTGCCTGTCAGGCAGATGCACTCCGACCTCGAAGGACGCTCCCAATTAGTTGACTCTTTCGGGTTAGCAGTGGGTCTATTCTTGTTTTCCATATAATAGGGCCTCAGAACCCACAGAGGAATGCCCTTTACTGAACATGGTTCTGATCATGGCCTGCCTGAAAGAAACGCGGTCTCTCACCAGCTCTCCTGCCTTGTGCACTTTCCCACCGAAGGTGCCACTTGTATCCTGTGCCCATCTTTGTGCTGGTAGGTTCCTGCCCCTCTTTCCTTGCATCATGCTGTCTGCTATTATTTTTTCCAGTCCCCAGTGGCGGTTGAAATGGTCACAATATTTCAGTTTTTGAGTCAACATACTGTTTACTAGCTAAACTTCCTTGATTTTCATATCTTTTTGGATGTCTGTATTTCTTTTCTTCTTTGTCCATGTTATTCTGAGAATTTTTCTATAGCATTTCATTAGCACCTCGGAATAGTATGCCCGATGCGCCGAAAGGCGTGAAAAGTTATTTTTACTTTTTACTTATTCCCCGTGTAGGTTCCGGGGCCCCATTGTGGGGGAAAACAAGAATAGACTCACTGCCTACCAAAAGCATGTCGTAAGAGTCGAATAATTGGTAGCTTCCTTTGAAGTCGGAGTGCATCTGCCTGAGAGGCAAGGAACCAACAGTCTGCATTCAAGTGAATCATATCTGTAAAACGGATGCACACGCAACACTCAGGTTCTGGAGCTGGACTGCAGTCCAGGTGTGGAGGAACAACCAGAACTTTCCGCCAGAGTGTACAGCTGGTGAACGCGAAGAAGAAGTTGACTGTTAGTGAACTAGCTCCAGATCTGGTTAAAGACTGACCCGAATTCTGTGACTGGCTGTAAGACTGGACCTTGTGATGTACTTACAGACAGATACGAGAATGAGTCCAAGGACATCAAGGCGGTGAAGAAAGAGAAACAACTGCTGGAAGCTGAGCTGACCGAGCATCGTTCCATGGCTCAGGAAATTGCTGAGCTGTTGATGATTGTACAGCACAACCACAACAAGAATACCATTGTAAGTATTCTTCGGTCATCTTTAGCGACTGTTTGTTGCTAAAGACATGTTTTTTTCTCCCTCCTTTTCTTTGGTCACCGACTGTAAGCTCCGGCGGAAAGTAATGGTTGTTCGTCCGTTTGGACTTTGGCTTTGTGCCAGGGCCTGAGTTTTGCGTGTGCATCCGTTTTACTGACTCGTTTGTGTGCAGTTGGTTGTTTCTTGCCGCTCGGGCAGATGCACTTTGACTTCAAAGGAAGTTCCCAGCTAGTCGTTTCCTATGACATGCTTGCTGGGAAGGCAGGGGGTCTATTCTTGTTGTCCCCACAATGGGACCCCGGAACTCACACTGGGAAAATGTTTTCTGATAAGACTGAAACATAATTTAAAAAAACAAATATGTCACTACACTATATAGTGTCTGGGGTTGAAATCAGCATTTTCCCTCCCGGAGGTACGGGACTTCACTGTGGTGGGGGTGGGGGAATAAGAATAGATGCACTGTCCCGCTCATAACGAAGCGTGTCGTAAGAGGCGACTAATTAGTGGGTTAACTTTGAAGCTAAAGTGCATATGCCTGAGAGGCGAGAAATGAAAACTACGCGTACAAATAAGCCAGATCAGTAAAACAGATGTGTATGCAAAACTGAAAGTCTGGAAAAATCCTAGAAGTGCAAAAATAACCAGAACTTTCCGCCCAAGTTTACAGCCGGTAAACGCTAGGAAGAAGGGTAGGAGACAAATGGCAGTCAGAAAACGTCAGATTTTGTGTTGTAGTTTACAGCGGAGCTGTGACATCTCCACCTTTTGGTCTAACACATCAGATTTAAACAAATCCATAATGAGCCAGCCTCTTACGATATGCTCTAAGGGGACATGAATCTTATCTTTTTTTCTAGAACTTGAGTTTTTCATGCACCTCTGTTTTACATATCTGGCTTATCTGTATGCAGACTGCTGGTTCCCTAATTTTTAGGCAGATGCACCCCGATGTCAAAAGAAACACCCATAATTAGGTGCTTCTTACGACATGCTTTTTTAGTGGTGGAGCAATGGGTCTGTTCTACCCCCCCCCCCCACACTCACACACACTCAGGCACCGGGATCCACACAGGAAGTCTTGTACCCAGTGTGACCTTACTGACCCTTTTCATTTTTCTTTGGGGCTCTGAAGCAAAGAAGGCTAGTGAATGCTTTTCTTAATCCTCTACAGATTAGGGTTTTGTTTTTCACGGATATTGGTTTCTGAAAGAGGACGTCTAAAAGAAACCCTAAGATGAACGTTACTGAGAGAGGCCAAAGTCTGGACTGTATTCCCTCCAGGTTATCGAGAGGACTGCACATAATATACCGGAATGAAGGACTAGACTGTGAGCCCTATGTGGCATACAAACGGGGGCTTCAGATGAAAGCCTTAAAAGAGTGATAGAATTACACTGTTACTCTTTGGTGCACGCTAAAAGTGGGGCGGCCATCTTCAAACTGTCATTATGACATCACTATGTTTGTCTGCACCGTGATGTCACATATTTAACACTTTTGACATCATTAACAACAATTACTGACAGGTTACAAGACACTGGTACGGTTACTGTAATTTATGTCAAACGTTTAAGGTGTTCATGTGAAGCCATCTTGGATCAAAAGGATGCTGATGATGATAGTTTTGAAAAAGAGACTATACTTGTGGCTTTCGAGAGTGACGTTGTCGAAGAGATTGAGGCCTTACTCTGTAACATTTCACAGACAGCAGTGGATGCTCATATCCTCTGGGACTGTTAACAGGGAAACTCTGTGTTGGCTGTGCAGTAGCGAGACATCATGTCTGGGAATGCCCAGAGTCTAGTGATGTCAGTTTTCCCATGTGGCTGCCAGGACCCCCATTCTGGAGGCAAACAGAAATAGACCGGCTGCCCCCTAACAAGTATGTCGTAAAAGACAATGAGTTTGGGTTTATCTGAAATCGAATGTGTTGGGTCAAAAGTTACGTATATTGCAGACTCGCTGTAAACCACAACACAGCATGCCAGCTGTCCTTCTACGGGCAAACGCAGAAGAAGTACGGGCAAACGCAGAAGAAGAAGAAGAAGAAGAAGAAGAAGAAGAAGAAGAAGAAGAAGAAGAAGAAGAAGAAGAAGAAGAAGAAGAAGAAGAAGAAGAAGAAGAAGAAGAAGAAGAAGAAGAAGAAGAAGAAAAAGAACAACAACAACAACAACAACAACAACAACAAGCAGAAGAAGACAAAAAAACAATTAATTAATTCACCCACTGAAAAAAGCCGTCTCCATAGTAAAGATTGGCTACAAGTATATTGTAACACAGCTCTGTTGTTTGTTTTTTTGAGGTCACACCCAGGTTCGTCTTTAGTTTGCAACAAAAGGAGTCAATTGAAGAATATAGACGAGGAGAAAGATTATCGTGTCGATAATGGTGGTGATGTTCATGATCTAGTTGCATCTTACTCGCGTCACTCTGATGCTTGTATAGTAAAATGTCTTAAAACGACTTTTTTGTTGAATATACAGTCGTTAATGTGATACATCAATTACCTTACGAATAACATCAGCTGTATCTGAATGGCTGCTTTTTTCGCTTTATGGTTATTTACTCTTGCAGTCGCGTTGGGTTCTTTATCTGTGTTTACTTGTGAAGTGGTTCTTGTATTTGTAACTGCCGCCTGGCTTCTAGTGCTATCTGGTACTAACGGTGTGGTCATCAACTAGCATCTATCTAATGTGTTCCCCTTGAGCATGGATCCACGTATCTTGCCTGTTGTCTCTTTAGTTCGATGTGTTGTTACATGTCTCGACTCCCCTCAAGTGTATGTCTTTGAGTCTCCATATGAATGGTTCATCTTCTTCTAGTGTTGAACTGGCATCTCCAGCACCGAAGGTTCTTGTCTACGAGGGTCAATATGACTAATCCCTCTTCATGTGAGTCTCAGCGGCTGAAGGTTCATCCTAACATATGAGGGTCTGTGCTACTAGTCCCTGCTCTTCTGTCTCACATACTGAAGATTCTTGTCTGTGAGGGTCCATAGGACTAGTCCAGGTTCCTCTGTGTCTCAACGACTGAAGGCTGCTCAAGCGTTCCGTTTCTTTAAAAAAAAAAAAAAAAGCTTAACCACGTTTTTTTACCCGCTATTTATACTGAGACGCAGGCATGTGTGAAATGCAATTTCTACTCACTTAACTGTTTCTAGAAAGTTCTAGTAGGCTCAAACGTGTTTACTATCTGTGTTCTCACCGTGCGATTTGCCAATTGTCTCTTGATTGCATCAGATAGTTCTGCACCTAAATTTGACAGCTGGCCTTCTAGGATCTTTTAGAAAATGAGTACTTCTGGGTTCTGTTTGAGAGGGCATGTCAAAAAAATTTCATCAAACACTTTATATAATTTGATTATTAATTTGCATAATATCCCTCTGTTAATAAACAAGTGATGATTCTAGAAAGAGCTTGTCAAGGCTGCTAAGACTTGTTGATTTTCCATCCATTCAACTCTCAACTAATGCGCAAGCTGATGACGCCTTCCTGTTACAATACTCCTGTTGTCTTTATGAATATTGCGTGGTAAATCCCCAGTTTCTTTCACGGTGCGACTCTTGGACCATGTCCGAAGACCCCAAGAATATTTTTCCTTTTGGGTCTAACACGGGAGATGAACCTAGGTATTGATGATCATGAAATTGATAACCAGCTTCAGTTGTCGAGACAGCACAGCCAAAAGTGAAAGAACATTTCTCTGCTGTTCCTAGCAGGATGATGATAGCAGCTGTGCCACCCGCAGCGCTAAAAATGAGCTCAAGATTTGGCAGGACAACAAGACAGCTACCGTGGCGGAGCTAAATGTCAACAACAATGGCAACTGGGAGCTAAATGTCAACAACAATGGCAACTCGGAGCACAATATCAACAACAGTGGACTCGGATGTGAGGGGAGTGTCACCATGATGGGAGAGCTACGGTGAGTGACTTGAGGTTTCTCGGTTTGTGAAAGCTGGGTTCCAGGATGGTGACATGGGGACTTGGTAGGTTGGTTGGTAATCTAAGGGAAAGCTGAGTTTTACTTGTTAGGTCTGGTGCTATGGGGAGCCTAGTGGTGCAGTGGTTAGACGCTTTCCTACTGGCCCAATGGTCTTATGTTTGAATTCTCATTTAGGCAGATTTTCATAATTGACCTAGGGCTAAGAAGAGGTTAAAATGAGGACCAGGAAATGTCATGGGATGTAAAGGCAGGTAATGGGATACCACAGCATCGATTGGTCTCTGGTGGTATCTGGTGTCAGAAAGTGTCGATCGTGTTTGGGGGAAGCTACGATGACAGCTTGGTCTGTCTTGCGACAGCTGATCTGGTTTTGTTTTCCTATTCTGTTGCCTAATAATGCGAGCCCAGATCTCTGGAAAACAAGTAACAAAAATAAAATACATTTTCTCCATCCGGGGAGGAAAGGATTTGCATGGTTTTCAGGTTCAGCTAATATACCTTTCTGGACTATCTGCGCTTTTCAGCGCGACTTTAGTGTATTTTTCTGTAAGGATGAAGCTTCCTAAGTCTAAGATCAACCAAGATCCATTTAATATACAGTGAGTGTTTGTGATTACAGTTTTTTATGTGTGGACCGATAGCTTTTCTCAGCTGACGAACTGCGTCTGCATGATATAAATCTGTTTCATAAAAGAAAATGATTTTTCAAAGCTGGTGCCTCCTGCTTCAACCCTGAACCCGGACAACCAGAGTGTCTCTTTTGGCCTGTTCTCTATCCTTTGACATCTCTGGCTTCGGAGACCCTGCTGCTAGCTGCACTGCCGCTTCCTGGATAGCTCTTAGGGTTATTGAAAAAGACAGGTACCTCACATCAGCAAAGTGGACATGTATTAGGAGCTAACAAACATGTTTTACATAAAAATGGCCACATTATTCTGCAGTACAAAACTGGTATTATAAGCGGTTATTAATCGTTAGTCAAGGTTTCAACATGGCTGCAGATGGGTCACCTCACAACTGCTCTTGTCCTGTGCCAATGGAAATCCCATAACATTTTCTTCACTGCCCTGTTTGAAAACCAGCGAAGACCCAGCACAATCTTGAAGTTTGTACACGCACCTTAATAATGCATTGAGATGTGAGATGTACAACACTAATGGTCCTACACTAGACTGAAGAATACTGCTGGCGCAAATGGTCAGTCACGAAGGCCGGCATTGTATGCGCACAGGCACAACAGAACCCCCCCCCCCCCCCCCAACCCCACCTAATTGTACATGAAATCCATAGCTGACAATGTCGCAGCAAGCATTCAACTCAATCGCTATGCGTTGGAACTTTTGGACTCCCAGTCCAGCAATGGGGAATTTGCATCAGCAAAACCTTGCTGGAAATAAATCACTGTTCAGAGCGCCAGAAGTCAGCCAGTTATCGGCTGTTTTGGGTAAAAATCATATGTGATCAATTTAGTTAACCTAAAAAAAAAAAAAAAAATTGTCATTTGTGTTTGCTGAAAAATGCAAAAATGTCGTTTACAGGCACAATGCAATATGGTCTAAAACAAAAAATTTAATGAAAGAAGAAGAAAAAGGAATTCATAAACTAGAGATTTCACTATAATGTCTTTTTGTTTAACTGCACAGTTACTTATAACTGTTTCTGTTCTGTGTTTTTTCTGTACCCTGGACTCGTGTAAATAAATGTAAGAGTTTGAGTAATGATGCAGGAATCTGTTTGTCAACATGGATGGAGAAATCCAGCGACTGCGCTACGATCTGAAGCAGAGAGATGCAGATGACAAGACCTATCAGAATTTACATGATGAGCTCAAAGTTCTCATGGAGAGAGTTGAATCGGGTAAGACTTGTTACTTGTTAGTGTTATGTTTACTTGGTATATTTTACAGCAAAAAAGAATGTGCTTGTAGTTACCATGAATGATGATCTGCACGGAAGATGCAAAATTAGGCCTTTAATGATTCATCACTCTAGCATTATTAACAAGATTATGATTTATGCAGAGCTGAAGATAATTACTGAGAGCGGAACAGTGGGGGTAACCTAGTCAGACTTTTCGTCAACTGTTTTTGGACTTAAATATGATGTTGATAATGAAGCAGATATCTTGGGCCCCAATCACACAGATCAAGATGAAACTACTCTTGTTGAAATTCTTCTTTGTTTTCAAATACACCTGGTGAGCCTGGCTCAATTGGACGGGGAAAATGTGGTATTCTCTTATGCTTTGGTTCATTTTCATTTTAGACAGCACCGTGAGAATAGGTTTATTTGTGGAGTCTGTGATTCAGTTCACAAGTTGTATTTTTTTGGAAGTGCTTGGAAATCATCCCTGGAGCTACAGGGTCCATGCTTTATGCGATGCTCTTGACAGAAACCAAGGGATAAGAAACAAAAATCCGATTGACCTATCATCTGACTTCTCAACTTTTACCTTTTTGGTTTATTTCATTGTAACTGATGTTGCCAGATTTTCGTTTTGTTTTATACATGCAATCAAACATATTTTTCATAGTCAGCTACAACTTGGTCATATATGTAGAATTGTGGGAATTTTGTTTTCCATGACAAGTAAAATATTATTATACTAATTTTGGTGTGGAGGCGGAGGGGGGGGGGGGGGGGGGAAACTTTGAGCCTGAGAATTTACGGCCGCATGGCTAGTGCTGTCACCACGACTGTGCAGGTGAGGATTTTATTTTGCCCCCGACAAAACAAAAATCCCCAGCTTTACCGAGAGTTCGAACCGCTGGAGAACCCAGCATTCTAACCGCTTGGACAAAACTGTGCGCCGTAAGAAAAAGTGAGAATAAAAGAGTGAGCTATAACTAGAATATGAGAACAAATTGTGCGCCGTTAGAAAAAGTGAGAAAACAGTTGTGTGCTGTGGCACTAATTCTTTCTTCTTTTTTCTTCTGCCTTTATCCTCTAATAGAGCATAAGCCCTCAACCAGCTGCCAACAAGTCATCCAATCCTTTGCTACTGCATGCATTTGATCCCATTTCCTCCCCATCTTTGTAATTTCTCTCTCTAGCTCCCTTCTCGATGTTTTTTTTTTTCGGTCTGCCTTTGATTCTATGTCCTTGTGGGTTCCACAGCAAAGACTTTCTAATTATATTGTTTTCAGATTTTCTCAGTGGGTTTCCTATCCAATGCCAGCGTCTCTACTTCACCTCTTGATTCACTGGAATTTGTTTAATTCTCTCTCGAAACTTAGCATTGGTGATTCTTTTTCTTCTCCTTCTTCAGCATTCTGAGCCCTTGAGGTTCATTCTGCAGATATCACCCGCCTCCTTTCATCTCTCTGGCTGGCCTTCTCTTTCCAGCTGGTGATACCAAGTGTTTGCAGGTCTGTCTGGACATTATCTCTCCATCGTCTTCTTGGTCTGCCTCGTGGTCTATGATCATTCATCTCTCTCTCGTGTACACAATATTTACTTCTCTGTCATCCGACATTGTGATACAGCTGTATCTTTCACATCTTCCCAGGTATAGATGTTGGGTACCTCATAGAATAATGGCCTAATGTAGAGTACTTTATAGAACAATAGTCTAGTGTAGGGTACACCCAAGAATAACGTCATAGTGTGGAATACTTTGTAGAGCAATGGTGTTGTGTTGGTTACCACATAGAATGATGGCATCCTGTGGGATACTTTATGCTATGGTCTAGTGAGCGGTACTTTCAAGAATATTGGCCTAGTGTGGATACATTGGTCTAATATGGGGTACCTTATAGAATGATGGCCTGGCGTGGAATACGTCATAGAATGATGGCCAAGTGTGGGATACTGTATGAAACATTGATTTAATATGGTGTACTTTATACAATGATACCCTAATATGGTGTACCTCATAGAATATTTGCCTAGTGTGGAATACTGTATGAAACATTGATCTAATGTAGTGTACTTCATAGAATGATTGCCTAGTGTGGAGTACCTCATAGAATGATTGCCTAGTGTGGAGTACCCCATAGAATGATTGCCTAGTGTGGAGTACCTCATAGAATGATTGCCTAGTGGGGGATACTGTATGAAACATTGATTTAATATGGTGTACTTCATAGAATGATTGCCTAGTGTGGTGTACTTCATAGAATGATTGCCTAGTGTGGTGTACTTCATAGAATGATTGCCTAGTGTGGGATACTGTATGAAACATTGATTTAATATAGTGTACTTCATAGAATGATTGCCTAGTGTGGGGTACTTCATAGAATGATTGCCTAGTAATATAGTGTACTTCATAGAATGATTGCCTAGTGTGGGTACTTCATAGAATGATTGATCTAATGTAGTGTACTTCATAGAATGATTGCCTAGTGTGGAGTACCTCATAGAATGATTGCCTAGTGTGGAGTACTTCATAGAATGATTGCCTAGTGTGGAGTACTTCATAGAATGATTGCCTAGTGTGGAGTACTTCATAGAATGATGGCCTAGTGTGGTGTACCTCATAGAATGATGGCCTAGTGTGGTGTACTTCATAGAATGATTGCCTAGTGTGGTGTACTTCATAGAATGATGGCCTAGTGTGGTGTACTTCATAGAATGATGGCCTAGTGTGGTGTACTTCATAGAATGATGGCCTAGTGTGGAATGTACTGTCATAGAATTGATTGCCTAGTATGGTGTACGTCATAGAATGATTGCCTAGTGTGGTGTACTGTCATGAGATGGCCTAGTGTAACTTCATACAATGTATCATTATGATGGCCTAGTGTGGTGTACTTCATAGAATGATTTGCCTAGTGTGGTGTACTGTATGATTGCCTAGTGTGGTGATTCATAGAATATAGTGTGGTGTACCTTCATAGAATGATTGCCTAGTGTGGTGTACTTCATAGAATGATTGCCTAGTGTGGGAATGATACTGTGGTGTACATAGAATGATTGCCTAGTGTGGAGTACCTCATAGAATGATTGCCTAGTGTGGTGTACTTCATAGAATGATGGCCTAGTGTGGTGTACTTCATAGAATGATGGCCTAGTGTGGAGTACCTCATAGAATCCTAGTGTGGTGTACTTCATAGAATGATTGCCTAGTGTGGGATACTTCATAGAATGATGGCCTAGTGTGGAGTACCTCATAGAATGATTGCCTAGTGTGGTGTACTTCATAGAATGATTGCCTAGTGTGGTGTACTTCATAGAATGATTGCCTAGTGTGGTGTACTGTATAAAATGGCCTAGTGTGGTGTATCATAATATAGTGTGGTGTACTTCATAGAATGATTGCCTAGTGTGGGATAATGTTCATAAAATGATGGCCTAATGTGGTGTACTTCATAGAATGATTGCCTAGTGTGGTGTACTTCATAGAATGATTGCCTAGTGTGGGATATAGAATGATGGCCTTATAGACATGAATTGCCTATCTAATGATAGTGTGGAGTACTTCATAGAATGATGGCCTAGTGTGGTGTACTTCATAGAATGATTGCCTAGTGTGGTGTACTTCATAGAATGATTGCCTAGTGTGGTGTACTACTAGTAGAATGATGGCCTAGTGTGGTGTACTTCATAGAATGATAGTGTGGAGTACTTCATAGAATGATTGCCTAGTGTGGGGATACTTCATGAGACATGATTGCCTAGTGTGGTGTACTTCATAGAATGATTGCCTAGTGTGGTGTACTTCATAGAATGATTAGCCTAGTGTGGCCTAGTGTGGTACTTCATAGAATGATTGCCTAGTGTGGTGTACTTCATAGAATGATTGCCTAGTGTGGTGTACTTCATAGAATGATTGCCTAGTGTGGTGTACTTCATAGAATGATTGCCTAGTGTGGTGTACTTCATAGAATGATTGCCTAGTGTGGTGTACTTCATAGAATGATGGCCTAGTGTGGTGTACTTCATAGAATGATTGCCTAGTGTGGTGTACTACTGAATATAGTGTGGAACAGAATGATGATCTAGTGTGGTGTACTTCATAGAATGATTGCCTAGTGTGGAGTACTTCATAGAATGATTGCCTAGTGTGGTGTACTTCATAGAATGATTGCCTAGTGTGGTGTACTTCATAGAATGATTGCCTAGTGTGGTGTACTATAGAATGATTGCTAGTATAACTTCATAGAAGGATGATGTGGTGTACCTAGAATGATGCCTAGTGTGGTACCTCATAGAATGAATACCTAGTGTGGGGTACTTCATAGAATGATTGCCTAGTGTGGTGTACTTCATAGAATGATTGATTGCCTAGTGTGCCTAGTGTGGATACTTCATAGAATGATTGCCTAGTGTAGTGTACTTCATAGAATGATTGCCTAGTGTGGGATACTGAATGGATTGCCTATGAACTTCATTGATGATTGCCTATGTGGTGTACTTCATAGAATGATTGCCTAGTGTGGTGTACTTCATAGAATGATTGCCTAGTGTGGTGTACTTGTATAGAAACATTGCCTAGTATGGTGTACTTTCATAGAATGATTGCCTAGTGATGGCCTGTGGGATAGAATGATTGCCTAGTGTATGAAACATAGAATGAGTTGGTGTAATGTGGTGTACTTCATAGAATGATTGCCTAGTGTGGGATACTTCATGAATGATTGCCTAGTGTGGTGTACTTCATAGAATGATTGCCTAGTGTGGTGTACTTCATAGAATGATTGCCTAGTGTGGAGTACTTCATAGAATGATTGCCTAGTGTGGTGTACCTCATAGAATGATTGCCTAGTGTGGAGTACTTCATAGAATGATTGCCTAGTGTGGGACTTCTGTACTGTATGAATGATGGCATTGGTGTACTTCATAATATGGTGTGTACTTCATAAAATGATTGCCTAGTGTGGTGTACTTCATAGAATGATTGCCTAGTGTGGGATACTGTGTGAAACATTGATTTAATATGGTGTACTTCATAAAATGATGCCCTAGTGTAGACCTCATAGAATGATTGCCTAGTGTAGACCTCATAGAATGATTGCCTAGTGTAGACCTCATAGAATGATGGCCTATATGGGTACTTTATGGTACAAAGGTAGCATATAGAACCATAACCTAGTGTGGAAAACTTTATACAGCAATGATGTATGACACACATTGCCTAGAGCCATTTTCATCTTGCTAGTTTGCGTCTGATATGGGTTTACTTTGTCCTGCTGTGTAGGTGTCACTGCCAACCAGGAGCTGTGTTGCCAGGTTAGCAGTCTGGAAGAGGAGAAGCGAAGTCTGATGATCAAAATCAATGAATGTCAACAGACGGTTGCCGAAAGAGAGAGGCAGATTCAGCTGTTGGATACCAGACTCAATGAGCGGAACCATCAAGTCATCTGTCTGCAGGAAGACAACAACGAGAAGACAGAAACTATATGCAACTTGAAGAAGCAGGTTGAAGTGAGTGCAAAGCCATTGTTATTTTTTTTAAAGAGGTAACTTTTTAAACTACAGGTGGTTTGTGAAGACAGTGAAGAAACAGAGGAAAGGATTCTCAAATCTTGGAACTCTCTTACCTCCTGCAGGTTCCTCCTATTTATGCAAGTTAGACCACAGTGCTCTATGTTAAAAGGCGATAATGGATGCAAGAAAATACTGTAAACAAAGTAGACCCACGGCAATGTCTCTCTAACAAGCATGTCCGTAAACTGTGGCATCAAGGCGAGCTAATTAAGTGTTTACCAGCCACTGGATAATGAGATGCGTTGGGCTGAGGAACAGGTGCGCTTGCGCATGGGACTGTAATAAACGCAGATAAATTAGGTTTGAGCCACATGTGCCTTACGCACTCCAGAACATGTCCTGCACGTACTCACACCCGACAAAACAACGCAAAGTCCCTAGCTGAAAAGACTCCCAGTTCACAGTGAAGCCAACTTAATGTAAATCATTATCTTTTTTAGAATGAGGAATGTAATGATAGATAAAAACATGACTGAGTAAAAAATCTGCTTCTCATCTCTTCTCCTGTCATTAGTCTTTTAGTCTTCCAGAGCTGAATGGGACTTCAGCCAACTTTTTCCCAAGCAGTGTGTAGATTTGCTTGTATTTTGCAGGAACAATTTTCTATTGTGGCAAGTCTCATGCCAGTCCTCATTAGTGGCTTCTTACGGCATGTATGATAGGTTACAGTGTTTCTATTCTTTGCCTCCCTTATGGATTCAAATAACACAATGATGGTAGAAACCTGGCAAACCAGCGAGTGGCACATGACTGGTACTGTAGCTTTGTATTTAAGGAGAGCTATATTAGGGTGTAACCAGGTGAGGACTCAGTACAGCATATACAACCTGGCTGAGATTAGGTCTAGGACGGTCTTAATTCGCATCCAGGTTTTTGGTGTTTGATGGTCAGTAAAGTCAAAACCGATGCCCATGGATACAAAATTTACACATTAAAAGAAGCAAATGTCAAACAGGAAAAGATATACGATATATAAAGCTCAAACAGTTGAACCCCCCCCCCCCCCCCCCCCCCCCCCAAAAAAAAAATAAAAAAAAAAAAAATATGTTGAAAACAGAAGTGACTGTAGTTGAGTTGAAAACTAAATGAACACAATTTCACTCGGAACCCTAGCAAGAGGAAGAGAAAGATACATTTACATGTATGCGGCTATGTGTGAATGTTTTTAGTTTCTTTTAATTTAGTGTACTATTCACATTGTTTGTTAATTTTGATTCGTTTTAAAATCTTGACTGTCCTCCGAATAACAGCCACATATTATGGCGCCCAAAAACAGGGCCTCAGTCACATGTAAATTGCGGACTTCTGGCGACTATACCGCCACCGCCGAGTGTATCTCCCACGCCGCTACGCGCGTCTTGAATTGGGGCTAAATTAGATGGCTAGGACTAAACGAGCAAAGCTGCAGGAGGTGCGGAAGCTGCTGTTCGTGAGTCGCAGCCATCTAGTTTAGCCCCAATCCACGCCGCGCGTAGCGGCTTGTGAGAAACTCTCGGCGGTGGCGGTATAGTCGCCGGAAGTCCACAATTTACATGTGACTGAGGGCCTGTTTATGGCCGCCATAATATGTGGCCGTTATTCGGAGGATAGCCAAGATTTTTTATTATAAAACTGAAAATCTGTGAGCAAAGTTCATTAGACGTATCTTTGTGGAACGCAGTTTTTTGTTATTTTGAAGCCCCACCCTGGCTATTGCCGGGGGCCCTAATGTAAGGTAACGGTTTTACGGCGTTTCCGGGACCTCTCCACGCGTGAGCCTCATCCGCACGGTGGCACTTTGTGTCACCGGGGGGTCTATCGCTTTGTATGATATCCTGGTGGGGTGAGATTTACTTACTTATTTTCGGTGAGCAGTAGAGGGGTGAAATTTACCAGACAGATTTTATGTCTAAATCAACTGGACTATTTGCAACACATTTTCTACATATTTTTTATATTTAACGCCATAATCAGTAAGAGTTAATATTCACTAAAGTTTCCAGAGTACCTAGACATTTTTTTTTTCGCGCCTTGTAGAATAAGTTTGACGAAACTATATTTTTATGTTATCCTCCTTCAAACTTAAAATCTGGACAGTAACTGTCGTCTTCTTTTAGCAATGAAAGCTGCGATAGTGTAGTGGCTAGACCATTGTTTCCCAAAGTTGGCCCTACTGCCCTTTTGAGGGTGAACTGGGGTAGTCAAAAGAAGGAGTGGGGTGGTGGGGGAGTTTTGTCGATCAAATACGGGTTGGGGGGGGGGGTCTGGGGTAGGGGGTAGGAGCCTGAGGGTAATGAATAAACATAAGGCAGTGGTGGAGACAAAGAAGAAGTAGAAGACGTGGGAAATTAAAAAAAACAACAAAAAAAAAACAGCATTAGCTTTTGAAGAATATTCTAGGAGAGTGCAGAGAGACATAGAGGACTAGGGGAATAAAGATTACCAAATGTTTGTTTCAGGCTGGATGACATAAAATGAAGAGTGGGGTAGTCATGATAATGTAAAGGTTAGCCTTGTGGCACATACTAGCACCAGGGTGTAGAATGGGAGATGTTCATGTATTAAAGGCTTAGCATAAGAAGGTGGAGAGAACAAGAACAGTCTCCGTGTTGGTGTCCGGTCCCATGTCGGGAGAGTAGACACTTTGCCGTCCCTCACAAGTATGCCGTATAAGGTGACTGGGGTCCAAAAGTGGACGAACAGCCAGAATTTTCACCAGAGTTTACTGCCAGTGAAGGCAAAGAAGTAGAAGAAGAAGCCAGAGTAAAGCCTAGGTAAAAACGAGCGCACTAACCACAAACTTTAGAATGTATGTCCACGACTTGAGTAGCATTTTGAGTGGATGTTTTCCGATGTTTTTCAGCATTTGGAACAGCAACTGCAGTCAGCCGACGCAGGCAGAAGTCAGTTGTGTGAGCAGCTGGAGGCTGCATTGAACAAAATCAAAGAGCTGGAGGAACTACTGTGCCAAAAGGAGATGACCATTCAGGATCTCAATGTACAGTCTGCATTTTTTGTTCTATTTACTATTTACAGTTTTTTTTATAGTTATCATGCTGTTGTATATTGTAGTATAGTTATCGTGCTGTTGTATGTTGTAGTATAGTTATCGTGCTGTTGTATATTGCAGTATAGTTATCGTGCTGTTGTATATTGTAGTATAGTTATCGTGCTGTTGTATATTTTATAGTTATCGTGCTGTTGTATTGTAGTATAGTTATCGTGCTGTTGTATTTGTAGTATATAGTTATCGTGCTGTTGTATATTGTAGTATAGTTATCGTGCTGTTGTATGTTGTAGTATAGTTATCGTGCTGTTGTATATTGTAGTATAGTTATCGTGCATGTTGCAGTATAGTTATCGTGCTGTTGTTAGTTGTAGTATAGTTAGTGCTGTTGTTGTGTTGTAGTATAGTTATCGTGCTGTTGTATGTTTGTAGTATAGTTATCGTGCTGTTGTATGTTGGTAGTATAGTTTATCGTGCTGTTGTATGTTGTAGTATAGTTATCGTGCTGTTGTATGTTTTTAGTAGTATAGTTATCGTGCTGTTGTATGCTGTAGTATAGTTATCGTGCTGTTGTATGTTGTAGTATAGTTATCGTGCTGTTGTATGTTGTAGTATAGTTATCGTGCTGTTGTATATTGTAGTATAGTTATCGTGCTGTTGTATGTTGTAGTATAGTTATCGTGCTGTAGTATGTTGTAGTATAGTTATCGTGCTGTTGTATGTTGTAGTATAGTTATCGTGCTGTTGTATATTGTAGTATAGTTATCGTGCTGTTGTATGTTGTAGTATAGTTATCGTGCTGTTGTATATTGTAGTATAGTTATCGTGCTGTTGTATGTTGTAGTATAGTTATCGTGCTGTTGTATATTGTAGTATAGTTATCGTGCTGTTGTATATTGTAGTATAGTTATCGTGCTGTTGTATGTTGTAGTATAGTTATCGTGCTGTTGTATGTTGTAGTATAGTTATCGTGCTGTTGTATATTGTAGTATAGTTATCGTGCTGTTGTATGTTGTAGTATAGTTATCGTGCTGTTGTATATTGTAGTATAGTTATCGTGCTGTTGTATGTTGTAGAATAGTTATCGTGCTGTTGTATCAACTACAGCTCCTCACCTTGTGGGTTCCGGAGCCCCAGTTTTGGTGGTCAGGGTTGGGAGGGGGCAGGGTTATGAATAGACACACTGTCCCTAATAAGAGATTAATTAGTGGGTTTGCCGAAATCAGATGTGTTGAGCAGATATTTAACCAAGCTGTAAACCACAACACAGTGTGCCAACTGCCTTTTTTAAATGATGAATGCAGAAGAAAAAGAAGGAGATAACAGCAGTGTTGTTTGCGCACTGATGAAAAGAGGTAGAGCATTGCCCTAATGGTTCATAGATTCTGTTCTTTTGTTTTGTTTTGTTATCCTAAATTTATTTATTTGCTTAGTTATCCATGAGTAATGTTTTGATATCATGATACTGCTGGCCCTTGTCACCCCCCTCCCTCCTGGGTTACATTCACTTCTTCTGCCTGTTCCTGGCACACAGCATAGCTTTTCAGCCAATTTACGCTAATCGTTCAATAAAGAACTCCATGTGTTAGTTGCGGTACCCCATCTTGGGGGACCCAAAAAAATTAATAAAAATATACCCCTCCCCCCCTCAAACTCCAACAACATGTTGTGAAAGTTGACCAGTTAGATGTGCTTTCTATGAAGTCGAAGCACATCTGTCTTGAGAGGCGAGGGACCAACAAATAGGCAGATCTGTAAAACGGATGTGCATGCAAAAACACGTTCTGGCGCACTGAAGGTCGTGGGTTCGTTTCACGGCTCCATCGTTCAGTTCAGGAGTGTATTTTTAGCGGAGATCCATGGGGATCGTCGCCGGAGCTATGGAGTTCATAGATGAAATGACAGGTCAGCAGAGCTTGGTTGTGACTTAAGATTAACTGTTGAAACCTCCCTCATGTGTTTTTCAGGGCCTCATTATGGGGTAATCTGGTAATCTGGTAATCTTAGTTTCAGCTTCATAGCAAACGGGTCACCCCATAGTTGCTCCGCTCCTGTGCCAACGAAAAACACACAGCATGTTTATCACAGTCCCCCTGTGGAAGGATTGGCAGACTGCTGTCTCAGCATATGCACTAGCATACACACGCATTAAAAACATCCGAATTTCTAACACAAACAGTCCGACATTAGAAATGCAGTTCATCATGGATGGTAACAGAAGTCACCAAAAAATCAGCAGTTGCACTCACGATCAATTTTAATCACATAATGGCACCACTAATATTGCGACAGCAGGCATCGCGCCATTTTTTAAAAAAATCTACAGTTCACACCACCACGTTGGTCACAGTCAAAAACATTCTAAATGAAATCCGCAGCTCACAGTGTTACGCCATGCACTCAACTCAAAAGCTGGGTAACGAAACTATATCCTTTCAGTCTACAAATGGAGCAAATATGCAACGGCCGCCGTCTGGCAGAAGCAAAATATTTCCCACGGCTCAAAACAGTGGCCGTGCCTAGCGTCCATTTTGACCGGAAGTCTCATTATGGGGGTAGGGGGGTATGGGCTAATTAGGGGTGTTGTTTCCTTCAGCGTCGGAGTGCATCAGCATTTAAGGTAAGGAACCAACAGTCCAGAGAAGCCAGATCTTTAAATCAGATGTTCACGCAAATCTTAAGTTCTGGAATAAGACAACTCTAGAAGTGGATCAACGACCGGGACTTTCTGCTGGTGTTTACAAGCGGTGAAAGCTGAGGAGGAGAAGGCTGGTGAATGGTGATCTTTTATTCACAGGAGCAAATTGTGAAGCTGCAGAAGGAATGCCGTGCCATCCAGCAGAAGTTGGAGAAGAAGGTAGACTGCCTCAACCAGCAGGTTTATGAGTATGAGAAGCAAACAGAGCAGGTATGTTTGTTCTTCATCTACTTTTCCTCTTTACAATGAGTATAGGCAATGGCAATCATCCGACTTATGCCAGGTATTTCATAGACATTTTCTCTTCTGATAAGGTGGCTACACATGTCGATTGCGTTTATTTCCCTCTGATGTATGTGATAGTTATTGTTGAATCTTGGCTTTTTTCAGGGCATTTCGGTTACTTATTTTGATCGTCTTAGGAAATTTTAGCAATCCTCTTTAAAACCACAATTAAGTGAGGGTTCACCGTGTTTGCTGTTGTCCTTGAATAGTAGCTACATGTTAACATTGGCTTCATGTAAAATGCAAACTTTATTAAACACATTTGTTTGTTTGTTTTGTTTATTGCATTATTTTTTTTTATTTTTTTTGGCATGGTGATTATGGTCACAGGCATGATGAACAAGTTAAAGTTAAAGTTGTGCTGTGCACAAGGAGATACCCCGTACCCCACATCCAGAAAGCACCAAAGATCCTACTATATGACAGTAAAAGTTCAAACGTCCACTACCACTGGGCACATTCATCAGAGTATAGTGACCATGTGTGGGAACCATGACCGGTGCATGTTTCCTACACTTGCCAGTACAGATTGCTCTCGGGTATCCACCTGAAAGATGCTATTGGCACAGAGAGAAGTCGAGATATGCTGGGGATTTGAGATGCCCATTTTATGATCACTCTCTTAGTCTCGGGGGTGAGGGGGGGGGGGGGTGGGTGTCTCGAGGCATGGTGTCTGCCTTTTGTTATAGAGGTATTGGGTTCAATACCCAGTAAGGGCTGGGATTTTTTCACGTCGACTTCTAGTAATTACCCCCTGGTCTCTGGGTAGTGAGATCGGGCGCCCGTGTGCATTGATGCACACGTAAAAAAACTCTTTTCAGTTGGAAATCGAAAAAAAGTAGCCTAACGGCGCTGCCCGGACAAAATTTGGATTTAAAATCCACCCAAAGTATTTCAGGATCCTCGCCGGTGCTACAGAGCATGTGCACTGTGCTGAGCTTCTTCGGGCTCAGACTTGAGTTAGAAGAAGAACGGAGCACTTATTAGTTACTCTCCGTGTGCCATGATGTTGATCAGTTGTTCGAACCTCACACCTATCTAAGTCTCTTGTCTGCGGACAGCTTGTAGCACAGCTCAGTGTTGCCACTTTTGACAAAAAACATCCAAAACGGAGTCAAAAATATCTAAAAACATCTAAATTTGCGTGGAAACATATAGAAAAAAAACCCACCCAAATTGAAAGATTCACAAATTACATAGCAATTGATGTGACTTACCCTAAAGAAAAATGCCCTCATCTTTACTGAAGTCTCCCTCACAAGATCACAGAATAAACTTAGCTTGGATGATGAAGTTGAAGCTTCAGATCCAAAATGACTCTGGTATGCTTTAGCTGTTCCAGTTTCGTTTAATACCCAATCAGGGAGCTGATAAGTGCAACAGCCTTTTCCTACTATTATCAGGCCGAATTTTATTGTCAAGATAGCATTTAAGAGGACAAATTTTATCCTGTTTCTTAGGTTAGATTTGATAAATTCACTCCAAATAAAAACCTCTACCATCTAAAAGTTAAAAACGCCATCTAAATGCAAGGGAAAACATCTAAATCTGGATGTAAAACACCCAAAGTGGCAACACTGGCACAGCTCCGTTCTTTGTAGCGTACGTGGATGTCACACCCAGCTTCGTCTTTAGGTTTGCTACAGGAGGAGTCGATTGGAAGATTATAGACGAGGAGAAAGATGGTCGTGTCTATAGTGGTGATGATGATGTCTTGCTTGCTACATGCTTCTCACCTAACTTTGATGCTTGTAAAATAAAATGTCTTGAAACAGCTGTTCTTGTCTATACAGTCTTTATTGTGATACTTCAGCAATGTCACAAACAACATCGATAATATTCTAAAAGGCGCTTTGTTCTCTTTATGGTTACGTACTCGTAAGGTTGCGTTGTGTTCATACTCTTGAGGTCGTGTGGTGTTCTTTATCTCTAGTTACTTTGTTAACTGGTTCTAGTGTCTCTAACTGCCACTTGGCTTCTAGTGCTGTCTGGTACTAACGGCTGGATCGTTGACTCTAACATCTCTATAGTTTCCTACCTAATGAGTCTCTGTTAACCATGGATCCATGTTCCTCGTGTGTCGTCTCTGTAGCTCGATGTCTTGTTTCATATCTATCTTCGAGGCTCCATGTGACTGGCTCCTCTCCTTCTAGTGTTGAGTTGGCATCTCCACAACTTAAAGTGCTCTATGCGGGTCCATGTTACTAGTCCCTCGTCTTCTGTCTTGTAGACTGAAGGCTTCTAGTGTTGGGCTGACATCTCTACAACTAAAGGCTGCTTTGAGGGTCAATATGACTGGTTCCTCCTCTCTTGAGTCTTTTGGACTGAAGAATTACCGTAGTGGCTTCTCACTCATTATTTATACTTGGATGCTGGAATGCTAGTTATTCGTTTTCTTTTCACTTTTTCTGCTTCTAGAATATTCTAGTAAGTCTCAACATGTTTACAATGTGCGTTCTGGCATGGGATTTTCTAATAATAACTCGATTGCATCAGATTTCATCATCCTATTCTGCGCAAATATAGTTGACAGCTGACGTCAATAGACTCATACAAAACAAGGGCTACTAGGTTCTCTCTGAAAGGGCACGTCAACAATGACGTCAAATACTATTTATAGATTATTCATTTGGAAAATATTTTCCTGTTAAAAACAAAGGATTGTTCTAGAAAAGAAGGTTACCAAAACTTGTTGATCTCCTTACATCCCGGAACTGCGCCATATACTAACTCCTAACAAACAAGCAATGACCTTTCTCTGTTTCATGCTTTCTGATTCAGCCCGTAAAGAGCGGAAGGCTCAGTATATGGATGTGTTGTTAAGCACGTATGTGCAGGATGTGACAGTTCCTTGGGTGAGACCAGTACCAGGGCACCACACACAGGCCACTGGCGTGAAAAGGGCCCTGAACTATTGTGTTTTTTAAAATATTGTTAAAAACGTTTATGGGGAAAATTTGTTGCGGTTCTGTTGCAAGTGACACTGATTGCCTGGTCTTTTCCCTCCAGTTATCAGCAGAGAATGAAAACCTGCGTTCAAAACTTGGCAACTGCCTGAAATCATGTGAGGACTGTCGACGTCTGCTCCAGGTTCAGGAAAACCAAAACCTGGCACTGGAAGCGCAGATAGAGGAACTTAAGACTGTAAGTTCGTCACTGTCTGATCTGAACTTTTATTTTATTTGTGTATTCTGAGACTATGGCAAACTACTGGACGTAAATTTGCCAAGAGAAACCACACAACAGCCAGGAGCTGCTGGGGTTGGTTCAGCAACGTCCTGTAAAGGATACGCAAGCTAACCTAATTCTGAGACTAGCATGAAATATGTAGTGTTATTTCACCCTGTGTTTTCTGTGAGACTAGCATGAAATATGTAGTGTTATTTTACCCTGTGTTTTCTGTGAGACTAGCATGAAATATGTAGTGTTATTTCATCCTGTGTTTTCTGTGAGACTAGCATGAAATATGTAGTGTTATTTTACCCTATGTTTTCTGTGAGACTAGCATGAAATATGTAGTGTTATTTTACCCTGTGTTTTCTGTGAGACTAGCATGAAATATGTAGTGTTATTTCACCCTATGTTTTCTTGTCCCAGGGGTGCCTCTTACACTCCTCGTCCCAGGAACACTAATAAAAATTAGCCCAACAATGTTGGAATTCAAGAAAAATTCCTTAAAAAAAAAAAAAAAAAACTAAATTTTTACTAACAAACTCGTTACAGATTTACTTATCTACATTTTAAAAATTGTTTTCCCCGAAATTTAAAAAGGTATATGAAAGTGATAATCAGTAAACCTTAAATAAAAAAATAAATAAATAAAAGGCATATGTATCGAGTATCCATACCTTGACTCCAAGGATCTCTATCATTGAGGCTTACGGGAATTTGACATTATCTTGGCTTTAAAAGAGCTATGTGGCTTAAAGAAAACCCGCCCTAATTGCTGTTTCTGGTTAATGTGTTCAGATACTGACCTCCTGAATATTTGCGCCGGCACACAAACAACAAGTAGCATTATTTGTGCATTTTATAAACAGATCACTGTAGACAAGTTGGAAAAGTGACATTTACGGGAAATTGGACCCAACTAAAAGTGTCGGTTTTGTGGCTTCACAGTGAGAAACTGTTAAACCCAGTCTTCTTCTTTTCATCGTCAGTCGGTCGGTCGTCGGTCGGTCGGTCTGTCTGTCTGTCTGTCTGTCTGTCTGTCTGTCTGTCTGTCTGTCTGTCTGTCTGTCTGTCTGTCTGTCTGTCTGTCTGTCTGTCTGTCTGTCTGTCTGTCTGTCTGTCTGTCTGTCTGTCTGTCTGTCTGTCTGTCTGTCTGTCTGTCTGTCTGTCTGTCTGTCTGTCTGTCTGTCTGTCTGTCTGTCTGTCTGTCTGTCTGTCTGTCTGTCTGTCTGTCTGTCTGTCTCCCCTCCCCTCTCAAATAACCATCTAATATGTCTACCAGTGATACACAACAGTCAGTTATGGAATATTGTGTTGATGTTGACAATGATATGAATCGCCGACCAGTCAGAGCAATGGTAAACTATTGAACCTAAAATTGCCTGGTGAAATCACAAAAAGCTAACAAATACGGGAGCTGGTTTACATTATCATGTAAAGGATGCACAACTAAGTTTTTTTTTTGGGACCGCATCAGCCACCAAGGGCTGGTTGGTCTATACAAAAAAATGAGGCTTGCATCATATGCCAAGTGAGCCACTTTGGTGAAAAGAGTCCTCTGGAGCGGATGCTGTTTATGAGCCAGTTCTCCTCGATGCCCAAATCCTGTAGGATGTCGGTATTTTTCATCTTCTTATTTTTGAAACCATTGTAGATTCAAACAATGTGACAACTGTAATTTTTCAGACACTGGAGGAAAAGGAGAAACTGCACTGCAAGCTGCTGGAATCCTACCAGCAGAAGATCTGCAAGGGCAACGAGCAGATCAAGAACCTGGAGAACGCCCTGGTCATGTGCAGAAACGAAGTGAAGATGCACATGGAGACGATGGAGAAAATCAAGAACCATTTTGAGTGTGAAATACTCAAGAGAGATGCCTGTGTGAGTGTTCACCTTTTTCTTAGTATTCACTGGCTGTAAACTCTGGTGAATATTCCTGGTTATTTGTCCACTTCTGGATTTTGGTTCCACTCCGGAACTTGAGTTTTGTGAGTACATCCGTTAAACAGATCTAGCTTATTTATTTGCAGATTGTTGGTTCTTTGCCTCTCAGGCAGATGCAGAGGGAAAGTCTTTAGTGCAAGACAGCCTAGCATACGCCATCACAATATCTAGCATGAGAATGGAGGTGGAGGCGGTAACTGCAGCTCTCCTGTGGCTAGAGAACAAGATGCATAAATATGTCGCAATTGTAACAGACTCTGAAAGCATATTGAGAAAGGTGAAGACAGGGATGCTTCGAGCAGAGTGGCTAGCTTTACTGGGAAGGTCACGGGTAGTGGATCTTTTCTCCATGCCATGCCAGCGTCGTGGGTAATGAGCAGGCAGACAGACTGGCTAGATCGACACCACTGGGTCGTGAATTGATACATGACAAGGCAGATGTGGTCAAGGCCCTTTGGGAACAAGCAACGGAATCAGTAGAGAAACAAGATTATTATGGCCTGGGGACAATGAGGCACATGGGTATAACCAGAGGGTCTGGCTGGCTCACTACACTCAGAGGAAAGGCAAGACGGACATGTAACCAGATTGTGACTGGTACCATCTGTATTACAACTCTGCGCTGGCTGCTGAAGACGAGGACGGAGCACGTATGGGAATGCCCCGAGTGCTGTGATGTCAATTTTTGACATCTCCGACTTTGATGTACTCCGACTTTGAAAAAAACACCCCTAATTAGCCATCTTGGACAACGTTCTTGTTAGGGGGGCCAGTGGGCTTGTTCATTACTCACTCCAAAGTAAAAAAAAAAAAAAAAAAGGTATAAAGGACCTTTTCGACGTCTTCAGACGTATTGGGCATATAGGGCTAGAACTATATTTCATAACTAATCGGCACTCAGTGTGTGATGCGGTCAGCATCTCACCGGCCTCCTTTACTTAAAAAAAAAAAAAAAACAAAGTCCTGTTCCATAAAGATTTGAACCCTCTACCTTCTGATCCACTTAAAAACAAGGCGTAGAAAAATACTGCACCTTTTCACACCAGTGGCGCATTAGGACATTCTTCTTCTTCTTCTGCCTTTACCCTCAAAAGGGCATTTGAAACACTGTATTGTGATTTATGGCTAGGCTGCAGTATCTGCTCCTTTTTTTTTGGGAGCCGAGCACATTGATTTCAGCAGATCACGGATTAGTCGCCTTCTTGGTAGTGGGTCTATTCTTGTATACCTCAAATGTGGCCTCAGAACCCAGACAGGGAGAATGTATAATTCTGTAGTAGAGTTTCACAGATTAAACATCTTTTAAAAACTAAATAATTTGCCAAATTTTCTGTGGGCTATTTCTGTGGGCTATATTATAAAATTCTAACAAAAGGATGTTTCACAGAGTAAAGATCTAACCACAGGATATTTCACATATTTAAAATCTAACAGCGGGATATTTCACAGAGTAAAGATCTAACAATGGGGTATCTCACAGAGTAAACATATAGCAACGGAATATTTCACAGAGTAAACATTAAAAAATGAGCTGTTTTCCATATTAAATGGTCGAACATTGGGGTGTTTCACAGATTAAACATTTAACAACGGGGTATTTCACAGATTAAACATCTAACAACGGAATATTTCACAGATTAAACATCTAACAAGGGGGTATTTCACAGATTAAACCTCTAACAGCTTAATATTTCACAGATTAAACATCTAACAACGGGGTATTTCACAGATTAAACATCTAACAACGGGATATTTCACAGAATAAATATCTAACAGCGGGGTATCTCACAGATTAAACATGTAACAACGGGATATGTTTCACAGATTAAACATCTGAAGGAAGAACTGAGGAAGTGTAGTGAAGACTTGAAGTGCCGTGCTAATGAGAACTGCGTCTTGGAGCAGACCAATGCAGATCTTCAAAACAAGTTGGCCAACACCTACTCGCAGCTTAAGTGCTGTGAACAGAATGGTAATTTATTGTCTGAAAAGGTGAGCAACTTAGGATCTTTTGCTTTTCACAATATCCCAATTTTCTGTTTGAAAAAAAGAAAAGAATCTTTAGTTTATAATAATTGTGTTTTCTTTTGCATCTAATGTGCATATTTACGAAATACAAATAGTTAAAGGACCTTTTTCCTCGCCTTCAGGCGTATTGGGCATATAGGGCTAGCCCTATATTTTATAGACTGATCGGCACTTGGTGGATGATGTGGTCAGATATCGCTGGCCGCCTTTCTTTCCAGGATTTTACTAGAACTTATTAAAGGCTGGGTCGACCTGGGAGCCATGGTCATTTTTGAAGAGAAATCCTGCTCCCTCAGGATCCGAACCCACACCCTGTGGATCAGCAGGCTAGCATGGCTGCTGCACTATACCGGCTCACACGAGACATAAATACGCATTGCAAAATACAGAGAGGTACGGACGTTTATTAACACATGCAGACACAGACAGCCACAGGCATTAAACAGAGACATGGAAAAAGACACAGATGACCAGAGACACACAGACATAAAGACACCGTCACAATGAGTCAGAATAATACAGGTGTATTTTTCACAGATACATGCGCGCACGCACGCATGTGTGCGAGCGCACACACAAACACAGATGAACTGACACACACATACACACACATGCACAAAAATACTCAGAAAGATCTGTATAGAGACATACACAGACACATAGACATAGACATATTTACAGAGAAAGACACGCACATGTGGGCACATATACATAGTGAAACACACATGTGTGGGCATACACCCATCCACACATTCATGGATATACACCTGCCCACACAGACATAAACATACTGACATTCAGACATACACACATAAGCACATAAAGTTGCAGAGGCAGACAAAGTCCAAGATAATGACACACACACATACATACACATACAGACTTAGACAGGACACAAGGAAACACATGGCTAAACACACACGGGCATATACAAATACGACTACTCACAAGACAGACAAGCAAATTCACAAACCCTTGACAATCGTTGGATGGTGCAAAGAACAGCTCACAGTGTTACATTCACGGCTCAAGATCACTGAGAACATTATGGTGAAGACAAAGACATCCACAAGTACACATAGTTAAACACATAGGCACACAGACACACAGACACAAACCACTTTCACACAGACAGACAAGCAAAGACACAAACTGTTAACTTTCTTCTGTACACGAATGGAACAAAGAACATCTCATGGTATCTGTTGCCAGCTGAAGAACACGGAGAACATCATGCTGAAGGACAAAGCCTGCTACATGAAAGAGAATGAAGAGATGGAGCGTCGCCTGTCGCAGGCTCTCAACAGTCTACAGTGTTCACATGAAGAGATCAATAAACTCAAGGCTGCACTCTCGTAGGTTTAAACATGCTCAACCTCCATCGTGTCAGGTTTAAACATGCTCAACCATCGTGTCAGGTTTAAACATGCTCACCCATCATCGTGTCAGGTTTAAACATGCTCACCCTCTATCGCGTCAGGTTTAAACATGCTCACCCTCCATCGTGTCAGGTTTAAACATGCTCACCCTCCATCGTGTCAGGTTTAAACATGGTCACCCTCCATCGTGTCAGGTTTAACATGGTCACCCTCCATCGTGTCAGGTTTAAACATGCTCACCCATCATCGTGTCAGGTTTAAACATGCTCACCCATCATCGTGTCAGGTTTAAACATGCTCAACCATCGTGTCAGGTTTAAACATGCTCACCCACCATCGTGTCAGGTTTAAACATGCTCACCCATCATCGTGTCAGGTTTAAACATGCTCAACCATCGTGTCAGGTTTAACATGGTCACCCATCATCGTGTCAGGTTTAAACATGCTCACCCACCATCGTGTCAGGTTTAAACATGCTCACCCTCCATCGTGTCAGGTTTAACATGGTCACCCTTCATCGTGTCAGGTCTAACATGCTCACCCATCATCGTGTCAGGTTTAAACATGCTCACCCATCATCGTGTCAGGTTTAAACATGCTCACCCTCCATCGTGTCAGGTTTAACATGGTCACCCTCCATCGTGTCAGGTTTAAACATGCTCACCCATCATCGTGTCAGGTTTAAACATGCTCACCCATCATCGTGTCAGGTTTAAACATGCTCAACCATCATCGTGTCAGGTTTAAACATGCTCACCCATCATCGTGTCAGGTTTAAACATGCTCACCCTCCATCGTGTCAGGTTTAACATGGTCACCCTCCATCGTGTCAGGTTTAACATGCTCACCCATCATCGTGTCAGGTTTAAACATGCTCACCCATCATCGTGTCAGGTTTAAACATGCTCAACCATCGTGTCAGGTTTAACATGGTCACCCACCATCGTGTCAGGTTTAAACATGCTCACCCACCATCGTGTCAGGTTTAAACATGCTCAACCATCGTGTCAGGTTTAAACATGCTCACCCATCATCGTGTCAGGTTTAAACATGCTCACCCATCATCGTGTCAGGTTTAAACATGCTCACCCATCATCGTGTCAGGTTTAAACATGCTCACCCATCATCGTGTCAGGTTTAAACATGCTCACCCATCATCTTGTCAGGTTTAAACATGCTCACCCACCATCTTGTCAGGTTTAAACATGCTCACCCACCATCGTGTCAGGTTTAAACATGCTCACCCTCCATCGTGTCAGGTTTAAACATGCTCACCCACCATCGTGTCAGGTTTAAACATGGTCACCCATCATGTGTCAGGTTTAAACATGCTCACCATCGTGTCAGGTTTAAACATGCTCACCCACCACCCATGCCCCACCATCGTGTCAGGTTTAAACATGCTCACCCACCATCTTGTCAGGTTTAAACATGCTCACCCACCATCTTGTCAGGTTTAAACATGCTCACCCACCATCTTGTCAGGTTTAAACATGCTCACCCACCATCGTGTCAGGTTTAAACATGCTCACCCACCATCGTGTCAGGTTTAAACATGCTCACCCATCATCGTGTCAGGTTTAAACATGCTCACCCATCATCGTGTCAGGTTTAAACATGCTCACCCACCATCGTGTCAGGTTTAAACATGCTCACCTACCATCTTGTCAGGTTTAAACATGCTCACCCACCATCGTGTCAGGTTTAAACATGCTCACCCACCATCGTGTCAGGTTTAAACATGCTCACCCATCATCGTGTCAGGTTTAAACATGCTCACCCTCCATCGTGTCAGGTTTAAACATGCTCACCCTCCATCGTGTCAGGTTTAAACATGCTCACCCACCATCGTGTCAGGTTTAAACATGCTCACCCTCCATCGTGTCAGGTTTCATGCTCAAACATCGTGTCAGGTTTAAACATGCCACCCACCATCGTGTCAGGTTTAAACATGCTCACCCATCATCGTGTCAGGTTTAAACATGCTCACCCATGCTCATCGTGTCAGGTTTAAACATGCTCACCCATCATCGTGTCAGGTTTAAACATGCTCACCCACCATCGTGTCAGGTTTAAACATGCTCACCCATCATCGTGTCAGGTTTAAATGCTCACCCTCCATCGTGTCAGGTTTAAACATCTCACCCATCGTGTCAGGTTTAAACATGCTCACCCATCATCGTGTCAGGTTTAAACATGCTCACCCACCATCGTGTCAGGTTTAAACATGCTCACCCATCCATCGTGTCAGGTTTAAACATGCTCACCCTCCATCGTCATGCCCCCTCCATCGTGTCAGGTTTAAACATGCTCACCCATCATCGTGTCAGGTTTAAACATGCTCACCCATCATCGGATCAGGTTTAAACATGCTCACCCACCATCGTGTCAGGTTTAAACATGCTCACCCACCATCGTGTCAGGTTTAAACATGCTCACCCACCATCGTGTCAGGTTTAAACATGCTCACCCACATGCTCACCCATCATCGTGTCAGGTTTAAACATGCTCACCCATCATCGTGTCAGGTTTAAACATGCTCACCCACCATCGTGTCAGGTTTAAACATGCTCACCCCACCATCGTGTCAGGTTTAAACATGCTCACCCACCATCGTGTCAGGTTTAAACATGCTCACCCACCATCGTGTCAGGTTTAAACATGCTCACCACCCACCATCGTGTCAGGTTTAAACATGCTCACCCACCATCGTGTCAGGTTTAAACATGCTCACCCACCATCGTGTCAGGTTTAAACATGCTCACCCACCATCGTGTCAGGTTTAAACATGCTCACCCACCATCGTGTCAGGTTTAAACATGCTCACCCACCATCGTGTCAGGTTTAAACATGCTCACCCACCATCGTGTCAGGTTTAAACATGCTCACCCACCATCGTGTCAGGTTTAAACATGCTCACCCACCATCTTGTCAGGTTTAAACATGCTCACCCACCATCGTGTCAGGTTTAAACATGCTCACCCACCATCGTGTCAGGTTTAAACATGCTCACCCACCATCGTGTCAGGTTTAAACATGCTCACCCACCATCGTGTCAGGTTTAAACATGCTCACCCACCATCGTGTCAGGTTTAAACATGCTCACCCACCATCGTGTCAGGTTTAAACATGCAGGTTTAAACATGCTCACCCACACCCACCAGGTCATGCTGTCAGGTTTAAACATGCTCACCCACCATCGTGTCAGGTTTAAACATGCTCACCCACCATCGTGTCAGGTTTAAAGGTTTAAATGCTCACCCACCATCGTGTCAGGTTTAAACATGCTCACCCACCATCGTGTCAGGTTTAAACATGCTCACCCACCATCGTGTCAGGTTTAAACATGCCACCCATCATCGTGTCAGGTTTAAACATGCTCACCCACCATCGTGTCAGGTTTAAACATGCTCACCCACCATCGTGTCAGGTTTAAATGCATGCTCAGGTTTAAACCACCCATCATCGTGTCAGGTTTAAACATGCTCACCCACCATCGTGTCAGGTTTAAACATGCTCACCCACCATCGTGTCAGGTTTAAACATGCTCACCCACCATCGTGTCAGGTTTAAACATGCTCACCCACCATCTTGTCAGGTTTAAACATGCTCACCCACCATCGTGTCAGGTTTAAACATGCTCACCCACCATCGTGTCAGGTTTAAACATGCTCACCCTCCATCGTGTCAGATTTAAACATGCTCACCCATCATCGTGTCAGGTTTAAACATGCTCACCCACCATCGTGTCAGGTTTAAACATGCTCACCCACCATCGTGTCAGGTTTTAAACATTCTTAACCATCGCGTCAGGTTTAAATATACTCTGTCATCATTTCAGACTTAAGCATGCCCTGTCATCTTGTCGGGTTTACAAAGCTCTTTCGCCACGTCAGGTTTATAAAACTCTGTCGTCTTGTCAAGTTTATGAAGCTCTGTCATCATATTAGATGTAAACATGTGCTGTCATTTTGATAGGTTTATGCATGCTTTGCATGCTCATGTCTGTAATACCAGATGTAAATATGCTGTGTCGACCTGTCACGTTAATTAACTAATTTTTTGATTTGAGAAACGACATCATAACGTAATGAGCATTACCCATAGCAGGCACCTCAAGGTGTACGGACTGACAGTTCGGGTAGCACACTGCTTGTTCAAAGGTTGTACCCTGCCTCTCACAAGCCCTTTCTTGCTGGATCCGTACTTATTTCTAAATGCATACAACATTACACATGTTGTGTTGTCTAACATGATTTCTTATGTCAGCTTTCGTTCATAATCTTCAGAATGTTTGCCTTTTTCAGTATTTGTGTTCCTACCGCAGTCACTTGTGAAGCCAGAAACTCTGCTGTTTGATCACCGTGCACTCCTGCTTCTCCAGAACAGTGTGTTCTTGGGAGTTTCTGTAAGGTCGAGGTGCCGATGCCTGGTCAAGTTTATACCAGCTCTGTCGTTCTGTCAGGTTCAACATGTTCTGACATGTTAGACCTTGTTGTTTCAGATTTGTGGTGAGGCCTCCTAGTTGTTATCTACCGGTGTGTGGGCTCCAGGGATCCTTTTTTTAAGGGATTCTAAAGAATAGGCCCACTTTCCCCCTAACAAACATAGTGTACACGTGGACCTATTTGAGGCGTTTCTTTTGAAGTGGAGTACATCTGTCCAGTAGGCGAGGAACTAACAGTCTGCATACTGATAAATAAGCCATACCTGTAAAACGGATATGTACGTGAAACTCAAGTTCTGGAACACGGCTAAAGTCAAGAAGTGGACGAACAACCAGAACTTTCTGCTGGAGTTTTCAGCCGGTGAATGTTGAGAAGAAGAAGTAGAGAAGAAGTTTCTTTTCAATCTTCGGCTGTGATTTTACAGTCATACAATAAAAGGGCAATGTTTATCAGCACGAGGATCGACTGGCTGAGTGGTTACAACGTCAGGCTATCATGCGGGAGATTTGGGCTCGACCCCTTGGTGGGGCGAGGGTGTTTTTCTGTCGGGGGCAGAATTAAACATCCCAACCTGCACAGTCTATATCGACAGCACTAGCCATGTGGCCCTATATCCTCAGGCTAACACCCCCTCCTTTTCCCCCTTCCCCAGACTACACTGCCCTAAATGCTCAGGCTCACACCCCCTCCTTTTCCCCTTTCCCAGAATACACTGCCCTAAATGCTCAGACTCACACCCCCTCCTTTTCCCCCTTCCCCAGACTACACTGCCCTAAATGCTCAGGCTCACACCCCCTCCTTTTCCCCTTTCCCCAGTCTACACTGCCCTAAATGCTCAGGCTCACACTCCCTCCTTTTCCCCTTTCCCCAGTCTACACTGCCCTAAATGCTCAGGCTCACACCCCTCCTTTTCCCCTTTCCCAGAATACACTGCCCTAAATCCTCAGGCTCAGACCCCCTCCTTTCTTCCCCTTCCCAGACTTTCGTTGCCCTAAATCTCAGGCTCAACTCCCTCCTTTTCCCCCTTTCAGACTACACTGCCCTAAATCCTCAGGCTCACACTCCCTCCTTTTCCCCTTTCCCCAGACTACACTGCCCTAAATCCTCAGGCTCACACTCCCTCCTTTTCCCCTTTCCCCAGACTACACTGCCCTAAATCCTCAGGCTCACACTCCCTCCTTTTCCCCTTCCCCAGTCTACACTGCCCTAAATCCTCAGGCTCACACTCCCTCCTTTTCCCCTTTCCCAGAATACACTGCCCTAAATGCTCAGACTCACACTCCCTCCTTTTTCAAGTCTACACTGCCCTAAATGCTCAGGCTCACAGGTCCTTTTCCCCTCTCCCCAGTCTACACTGCCCTAAATGCTCAGGCTCACACTCCCTCCTTTTCCCCTTTCCCCAGTCTACACTGCCCTAAATCCTCAGGCTCACACCCCCTCCTTTTCCCCTTTCCCCAGTCTACACTGCCCTAAATGCTCAGGCTCAGACCCCCTCCTTTTCCACCTTCCCAGACTACACTGCCCTAAATCCTCAGGCTCACACTCCCTCCTTTTCCCCCTTCCCAGACTACACTGCCCTAAATCCTCAGGCTCACACTCCCTCCTTTTTTCCCTTTCCCCAGTCTACACTGCCCTAAATCCTCAGGCTCACACCCCCTCCCTTTCCCCTTTCCCCAGACTACACTGCCCTAAATGCTCAGGCTCAGACCCCCTCCTTTTCCCCCTTCCCAGACTACACTGCCCTAAATCCTCAGGCTCACACTCCCTCCTTTTCCCCTTTCCCCAGTCTACACTGCCCTAAATCCTCAGGCTCAGACCCCCTCCTTTTCCCGTTTCCCCAGTCTACAGCCCTAAATGCTCAGGCTCACACTCCCTCCTTTTCCCCTTTCCCCAGACTACACTGCCCTAAATTTCCCAGGCTCACATCCCTCCTTTTCCCCTTTCCCCAGTCTACACTGCCCTAAATCCTCAGGCTCACACTCCCTCCTTTTCCCCACCCCAGTCTACACTGCCCTAAATCCTCAGGCCCACACTCCCTCCTTTTCCCCTTTCCCAGAATACACTGCCCTAAATGCTCAGGCTCAGACCCCCTCCTTTTCCCCTTCCCCAGACTACACTGCCCTAAATGCTCAGGCTCACACCACCTCCTTTTCCCCTTTCCCCAGACTACACTGCCCTAAATCCTCAGGCTCACACTCCCTCCTTTTCCCCTTTCCCCAGACTACACTGCCCAAAATGCTCAGGCTCACACTCCCTCCTTTTCCCCTTTCCCCAGACTACACTGCCCTATATCCTCAGGCTTACACTCCCTCCTTTTCCCCTTTCCCCAGACTACACTGCCCTATATCCTCAGGCTCACACTCCCTCCTTTTCCCCTTTCCCCAGTCTACACTGCCCTAAATCCTCAGGCTCACACTCCCTCCTTTTCCCCTTTCCCCAGTCTACACTGCCCTATATCCTCAGGCTCACACTCCCTCCTTTTCCCCTTTCCCCTGACTACACTGCCCTATATCCTCAGGCTCACACTCCCTCCTTTTCCCCTTTCTCCAGACTACACTGCCCTATATCCTCAGGCTCACACTCCCTCCTTTTCCCCTTTCCCCAGACTACACTGCCCTATATCCTCAGGCTCACACTCCCTCCTTTTCCCCTTTCCCCAGACTACACTGCCCTATATCCTCAGGCTCACACTCCCTCCTTTTCCCCTTTCCCCAGACTACACTGCCCTATATCCTCAGGCTCACACTCCCTCCTTTTCCCCTTTCCCCAGTCTACACTGCCCTAAAGTATGGTACATACAGACACTAGTGGCAGTTTATCATTACAAGTCTTCGTCTGTTTTCAGAGAGAAATCTGGTGTGGTGGACTGCCTACAAGGGGAGAAAAACAGCCTGTGCCGTGACCTGGCTAAATGTAAGGAGGTAGCTTGTACCCTGCAGGATAAGCTCAACAAGATGGAGAAGGACAACCAAGAGCTGTGCCGACAACTACAGCAGAAGATGGATTGTAGTAAGTCGATGTGCCTTTTTTGGGGCTTTACTTATCATTCTAAACAGGTACAGTTTTGTAAGATTTTAATGACACTTTATTAGATGTGAGTACAGTTGATGATATTGGTAGATGTTGATGCGATTGTAGTAGATACAGGTACAGTTGATGGTGCTGTAGCAGATATGAGTACAGTTGATAACACCGCCAGATGTTAATGCTTTAGTAGTAGATTTAGATGTTGCTGTAGCTAATTTGAGTACAGTTGATAACACTGTCAAATGTTGATGCTTTAGTAGTAAATATAGATGGTGCTGTAGCAGATGTGAGTACAGTTAACACTGCCAGATGTTGATGCTTAAGTAGTAGATATAGATGGTGCTGTAGCAAATTTGAGTACAGTCGATAACACTGCCAGATGTTGATTCTTTAGTAGTAGATATAGATGGTGCTGTAGCAGATGTGAGTATAGTTAACACTGCCAGATGTTGATGCTTAAGTGGTAGATATAGATGGTGCTGTAGCAGATGTGAGTACAGTTGATAACACTGCCAGATGTTGATGCTTTAGTAGTAAATATAGATGGTGCTGTAGCAGATGTGAGTACAGCTGATAACATGATTGTAGAGGGAGTAGCTCATTAATTAGTATGTGGGAACTGTGGTAGCATAGTGGCTACACACATACCAGCCAGTGCCGCAAAGATGTTACAATTGAAGCTGCGTCAGGGAGAATTTAACCAAACAAAAATGTTTAGAGTTATCAGGTGGACCCAGCCTATAATGGGTACTGGAAATAATCCTTGCAATTAAAGGAGTTTACAGCCGGTGAATGCGAAGAAAAAGAAGAAGAAGAACAACAACAACAATAACAACACCACCACCAACCACAGCAACAACACAACTCTAACAAGCATGTTATAAAAGACAACTAATTAGGAGTTTGTTGAAGCGATGTGTTGGGCCGAAAGTTGCAGAGAGAGTCAAACTAATTGTTAACCCCAGCACAAAGTGCCAACCGCTTTAAGAACTTAATACAGTGTAAAATGGAAAAAAGAAGTTGGCAGAATTGTGTATTAAAATATCGCGTCTTGTCTTGTTCGTCACTCTGTGATTACTATGCCAACCTGTAGCACACTAGTAACTCTTTAGTCTGGAAAGACGGAAATGTGCCAACTCGAAATAATATAATAAATTTAAGAAAGATATAGACTTACAAACAGTAACGTAAATATCTAACCTGGACAGTTCGAGATATGGAGGTCGCCATCTGCAACAAGGATCAGGAAGTGAAACGATGCCAGCGCTGCCTCGATGAGCTGCAGGAGAAGATAAAACGAATGAATTCAGTAAGTGTTAATTCTTCTTTTTATAATACTCAAGATTCCCTTTTCATATTCCGAGGTCCGTTTTGGAGAAAGGGGGTCGGGGTGGGGGCGATAGATTACCCCCTGCCGAAAAATTTGCACAAGTTGACTATTTCTTTCAAAGAGTGCATCTGCCCGAGAAGCGAGGAACCAACAGTCTGCATATAATGTTGTACTGATGTGACATTAGACTGAATAGTACACGTTTTTTTTTTAAAATAAATAGTTTTAATTTCGTTTAGAAGAGAGGCTGAACAGATGCAGAGCTGTGAGGCGGGAGACACGGTTGTAAATCCTCGGTATGATTGAGAAACCTTTTCCCCGCTGGGACGAAAATAAAATAAAAACCTGGACAGTGGCGACAGCACTAGCCATGCGCCCGTATATCCTCACACTCAAAGAGAGTCCCATGCTTGTGCCGCGAAAATGCTCAATGTACGGAGTCATGGCAGTTGTTATACTTCTTCTTCTTCAGCGATCTCTGGTCATGCGCATAATCCACTGTGGGTCATAAACTGGGATGTCTTTTCAAGGTCTCTTAGGTTTCCCCAAAGCTTAGTTGTCAGTTCTACTGGGTGTTGCCATATCTCGCTCCGCAGCTCCGCCAGGAGAGGACAGTCTTGCAGGACATGTTCTGGAGTCTGTTCAGCACGAAGGCACTGGCAGAGAGCTGTTTGGCTCATACCTAATTTATGTGAGTGTTTATTGAGTCTGCAGTGTCCAGTGCGTAAGCGAAAAACTGTGACTTGGTCTGTTCTGTTCAAGTGTTTCAGAAAATCTTTTCCGTAGTTATAACGAATGTTGGTTTTCCAATCTGAGTTGTTATACAATTTCCGTTGACTTCTAATGAATAGTCGGCTCTGTGGCTAAGTCGATGCGAACGCTTTGTAATGCCGGCATGCCGGGTTCGATCTCAAGTGCGGGACACACGCCTTGCGTTGGTTTAGACAGTGGTATCAAGAAAGCCGACCGTCCAGAAAGCAATGGCAAACTACTGGACGTAAATTTGCTTAGAAAAACCACACAACAGCCAGGAGCTGTTTGGGTTGGTTCTGCGACGTCCTGTAAAGGATACGCAACTAACCTTCTAATGAATACCCGGGAAGCCATATTGCCTAAACACCCTCACACCAGATGATGATTATACAATTGTGAAGATTCAGGGCAGGAACAAACAATACACCATGTATTCCTTGGGAACAAAACAGTTATGTTTGGAAAATTTATTTCCTTAAAGAAAAATCTGTGATATAATTTAATGAAACCTTATTTTATAAACGAATTTTCTTCTCTCTCCACCAGGAGCAGGTGAGTTGAATGTATGTAATGTTTTTAAAAATGCACATTCCGACAATTCTTGTTGATTGAGAAAATGTTTTGTTTTATAACAGTTGTTAAATTTTATATAAAATTACCGCACAGAAAAACATGCAAGGACATCATCATCATCACCTTCATTGATCTTTACCAAATAGCTTGTTTATCATCCTCAGCATCATCATCATCATCATCCTCATTAGCTCGGTCGATAAGAGGCTCGCTTTCAAATCCAGCTGCGACTCGCTGCAGCCATGGTCGGTGTTCGAAACCGGACGGTTCTCGGGGTTCACCCAGCCTCTAGGTAATGGGCACCAGAGTGACACTCTGGGGTAAATGGAGGAACGTCGCTGTAGCTACAGAGTTACGTGCGGTCGGCGACACAGGCCTACAGTTCTTATCAGCTGTCCGTACACTGGTGGCAGAGCACTTATGGTTTATAACCGTGTGCAATGACGCTGGTTCACATCTCCCGACTTTGCCTTTACCTTTATCCTCATCATCATCCTCATCATCATCATCAACATCATCATCATCCTCATCCTCATCCTCCTCCGCCTCCTCATCATCATCCTCATCATCATCATCATCTTCATCATCCTCATCATCCTCATCATCATCATCATCCACATTTCGTCCTTAGTTTTACGTTAAGTTTATATGAATACAATTGGGCACACGTGTGTAACTTGCCACCCTCACAATTCATGTTATGCTTCCCTCTGAGACATATATTTTAAATTAATCATAAGCTCCCCACACAGCATTAAATAGATAATAGGAACTGTTCTAAAGGGGGGGGGGGGTGCGTGGTCTCGAGGCGTGGTGGTCTCGAGGCGTGGTCTCGAGGCTAGAGGTTTCTGGTTCATTACCCGGTAAGGGCTAGGATCTTTTCACGTGGACTTGGACTTCTAGTAATACCCCTTGGTCTCTGGGTAGTGCGATCGGACGCCCATGTGCATTGTTGTGCACATAAAAAAATCCCTTCGCAGTTGGGAATAAAAAAAGTAGCCTAACGGCGCTGCTAGGGCAAAATGTGGAGTTAAAAATCTACTCAAAGTATTTTAGATTCCTCGCCAGTGCTCCAGAGCCTGTGCACTGTGCTGAGCTTCTGCAGACTCAGTAAGAAGAAGATCGGAGCACTTATGGGTGTGCAATGATGTTGGTCCGTTGTTCACACCTCAAAACCTCAAACCTTAGAAACTGTTCTTGGAAGGTGCACTATCAAAACAAATTCCATAATATCTAGAAATGATCTTGGTACCCATTTTACCCACCCACAACTTGCGAGATAAGGTGCCAGAGGAAAGCCGCCAATCTTCTTCTTCTTGGCGTTCACCGGCTGAAAAACCTGGCAGAAAGTTCTGGTCGTTCGTCGTTGATGGCACGATAAGTTGGTTATACATAGGTAGATCCACAAATTAAGGTATTTCACCAGCTCGTACGTAAACCAGATACCGTTTATATTGAATGGGTGAAAAAAAGGGGGGAGGGGGTGGGAGGGAATGGCACCTTCCGCCTCCAACAAGTATGTTGTCAAATTCAACTAATTAGGGATGTTTCCTTCCCAGTTGGAGTGCATCTGCCTGAGAGGTGAGGGACCGACAGTTCGCATATCAGATCTATTAAATGGACATGAAAGGAAGTTCAGCAATCACACTAGAGCCCTGGCATGGACAAACGAGCAAAACTTTTCATCAGAGTTTACAGCTGGTGAATGTAAGGAAGAGGAAGAAGAACAAGAAGCAGAAGAAGAATAAGCAGACAAAAAAATAGAAGAAGACATAGAAGAAGAAGAAGAGGAAGAAAGAAAAAGAAGAAGAAGAAGAAGAAGAAGAAGAAGAAGAAGAAGAAGAAGAAGAAGAAGAAGAAGAAGAAGAAGAAAAAAAAGAAAAGAGAAAAAGAAGAAGAAAAAACGGAGCAGAGAAGGCGAAGGAGAAGAGGAGATGAAGAAGAAGAATGAAAAAAAAAAGAAAAAGAAGAAACCTTTCCAAATGAGAAGAAGCATATATTGAAGTAGCAGCAACTTCAGCTATAGGCGGGAAAGGAGAAGAGGAGATGAAGCGAGGGCAAGCCACATGTGATAAAACCTAATGCAAAAGAGTTGCTACTCTCACCTTTCCATGTTTTAATGTAGAAAAAAGAATATATTGAAGTAGCTCAGTTTTAAACTTCAGCTATAGGCGGAAACTGGAAAGAAAACAAAAAGCCTGTCCAAAACACACATAGAATTCAGCGTTGTTGAACTCTTTCAGTGCCAAACATACATAGAATTCAGCGTTGTTGAACTCTTTCAGTGCCAAACACATAGAATTCAGCGTTGTTGAACTCTTTCAGTGCCAAACATACAGAGAATTATGCGTTGTTGAACTCTTTCAGTGCCAAACATACAGAGAATTCAGCGTTGTTGAACTCTTTCAGTGCCAAACATACAGAGAATTCAGCGTTGTTGAACTCTTTTAGTGCCAAACATACAGAGAATTCAGCGTTGTTGAACTCTTTCAGTGCCAAACATACAGAGAATTCAGCGTTGTTGAACTCTTTCAGTGCCAAACACATAGAATTCAGCGTTGTTGAACTCTTTCAGTGCCAAACATACAGAGAATTATGCGTTGTTGAACTCTTTCAGTGCCAAACATACAGAGAATTCAGCGTTGTTGAACTCTTTCAGTGCCAAACATACAGAGAATTCAGCGTTGTTGAACTCATTTAGTGCCAAACATACAGAGAATTCAGCGTTGTTGAACTCTTTCAGTGCCAAACATACAGAGAATTCAGCGTTGTTGAACTCTTTCAGTGCCAAACATACAGAGAATTCAGCGTTGTTGAACACTTTCAGTGCCAAACATACAGAGAATTCAGCGTTGTTGAACTCTTTCAGTGCCGAACATACAGAGAATTCAGCGTTGTTGAACTCTTTCAGTGCCAAACATACAGAGAATTCAGCGTTGTTGAACTCTTTCAGTGCCAAACATACAGAGAATTATGCGTTGTTGAACTCTTTCAGTGCCAAACATACAGAGAATTCAGCGTTGTTGAACTCTTTCAGTGCCAAACATACAGAGAATTCAGGTCCTTTAACTTTTTTTAAAGCCAAACATACAGCGATTTCAGTGTCCTTGAACTTTTTCAGTACCGAACATACACAGAATTCAGGGTCCTTGAACTCTTTCGGCACACCTAGTTTGTAACTTGATCTCTTTTATTCTCAAGATTGCATACTTTACAGTAACAATCCTAAAGATATATATATATGGCTGAAGAAGTTGAAGCAACAACTAGGATAGAACAGATCAATTTAACAGAAGAGTTAGACAGAGGAAATAAAATAAAAAAAAAAAAAAAAAAAAAAAAAAAAAGAAATCAATGCAGGGTAGGGTAGTGTGCGCATGTTGAACTGTTTGGTACAGAGAATGTTGATAGGGTGAATTGATTCTGAAGCCGGTGACATGATTTGTTGGTGCAGGGAGCTTGCGCATTACAGCTGGCATGTATGCAGGAGAAGTTGAAGTGCTGCAGAGAGGAACTGTTTGAAACAGGCAAGAGACTGAGTGAAACAGAAGATGCTCTCAAGTGAGTTTTGTTTCTAGTCTGTTTTATATACTGTAAGTAATATATTATGTTTTCGATGTTTAGGTGTTAAAGAACTCTAGGCTGTCAGTCGAAAGACCAAGTTCTAATTTTTCACTAAAGGCATAGATTTGTATCTGGGGGAGAGGCGCTGCGTGGTCTCGAGGCCACATTGTTCGCCTCGAGTGTTAAAGGTTCCGGGTTCAATCTCCGGAGAAAGCTTGGGTTTTTTTTTTCACGTGGACGGACTCCTAGTAATTCCCCCTGGTCTCTGGGTAGTGAGATCGTAAAAAATCCCTTGGCAGTTGGAAATAAAAAAGAGTAGCCTAACGGCGCTGCCCGGGCACAATTTGGAGTTAAAAATCTACCAGAGTATTTCAGGATGCTCGCCGGTGATACAGAGCCTGCGCACTGCGCTGCGCTTCTTCGAACTTTGATTTGGGTTATAAGAAGAACGGAGCACTTATGGGATACAACCCGTTTGCCATGATGTTGATCCGTTGTTGATCTTGCCTGAAGCGGATGATAATAGGGAAGTCAAGGATGGCTCAGGCAGAAGACACAATCAGACAGGTCTGCATCCTTGAGAACATTAGGCGAGGAGAGGAGTGGGTCAAAGTGCCATCTGAACAGTCAGACCTGTGTAGGGTCATAATCACACTTAGCCGGGAATGCAGAGACTGGTCAGCAGGTGCCACGGATGTGGAAATTCAGCAATTAATTCAAGATAATGCTCGCTCAGAAGATTTGATCATTTACACAGACGGTTCAGTGTCAAGAGGCAAAAGAAGTGCTTGGGGTTTCTTAGCAAAAGTAATGGTCCACGTTTGGTGCAGGAGAGCCTAGCATATGATACCACAACATCCAGCTTAAAAATGGAGGTGGAGGCGGTCACTGCAGCTTTCCGCTGGCTAGAGAATCCGAGACACACACATCGTGATTATAACTGATTCAGAAAGCATTCTGAGGAAGATCAGAACAGGTATGCTTCGTGTAGAGTGGCATGCCTCGCTGCGGAGGACACGGGTGAGGAGTATTGTCTGGATTTTTTCACCGGTGTGTTGGGAAATGAACAGGCGGACAGACTGGCTGGCTCCGCACAACTTGATGGAATACTGATACATCCTGTCCTACACAGCTTTAAAAATTTGGTTGACACAGGCAGTAAAGATAATTAACTATCTGTTTAAGACAGTTAACTGTTATCTGTCTCTTTAAGACAGTCAGCTGTCAGTTAAGTCTGTTAACTGCATTCATAAGACAGTTAACTGTCTGTTTAAGCTGTTAAATCTGTTTAAGACAGTTTACTGTCCACTTGTTGGTGAACTGGGACATAATAAACCAGATGTTTTAAGGGCCCTTTGGGAGTGAGTGAACAGTACGGAGGCACAGAGAAATCATCATGGTCTGAGGAGAGCGGTCGTTTTGTTTCACAGTGCAGTTGATTTTAATAGACTTCTGGGGATCGCCTTTAGAGGTGTGAACTTGTGCTTTGTCTGATTTTTCTGTCTGCTCAGCAGACAGACAGGCAGACAGACAGACAGACAGACATACAGACAGAAAGAGATAGAGAGAGAGACAGGCAGACTGACAGACAGACAGAAAAAGACAGACAGAGAGAGAGAGAGAGAGAGAGACAGACAGACAGACAGACAGACAGACCGACCTACAGACAGACAGGCAGACAGACAGAAAAAGAGAGACAGCCAGACAGACCGACCTACAGACAGACAGACAGACAGAAAAAGAGAGACAGACAGACAGACAAACAAAAAGAGAGATAGACAGACAGAGAGAAAAAGACAGACAGACAGACAGACAGACAGACAGACAGACAGACAGACAGACAGACAGACAGACAGACAGACAGACAGACAGACAGACAGACAGACAGACAGACAGACAGACAGACAGACAGACAGAGAAAAAAAAGAGAGAGAGAGAGAGAGAAGAGAAAGAATGAGCCAAACATTCTTCTTCTTTAGCATTCCCAGCCCATGATGTTCACTGCTGCAGATATCACCCGCCTTTATTCATCTCGCTGGTTGGCCTTCTCCCTCTAATTGGTGACCCGAAGTGTTTGTAGGTTTGCCTAGATATGATCTCTCCACATTCTTCTTGGTCGGCTTCGTGGTCTGTGACCATTTATGAGCCAAACATGGAAAAAGTTAATGCTATGGAGTCAGATTTCTCACCTTGAAAGATCATGTTGGTTTACTAACTTCTTCTACTTCGCGTTAACCGGGTATAAACTCTGGTGGAAAGTTCTGGTTGTTCATCCACTTCTGGACTCTAGTCCTGTTCCAGAAAATGAGTGTAGCATGCACATCTGATCTATGGAGTTTGTGCTGTATGTAACCTATTGGACAGTGAACGACTGCTTTGCAGAGAGACTCGGAGTCAGTCACTAGTGTCGACAGTGTTAAGTCATGTGTTTGTAATAGAATATTACATAATGATGTCAGTTCAGATAAATATATGACCTTCCCCATCCCAACTATGATTTCTCAGAGTTGCATGTCCATATATTCTGCAGGCGATGTCAGTCAGATGTTGAAGACAAATGTGAAATCATACGTTCACTCAACTGTACATTAGAGGAGCTGTCCTGTCGACTGCATGAGAGGAATGCTAGAGTAATGTTTCCTGAATTTGTTTCTACATTTTTTAAATATACGTCAGTGAATTCCAAAAGTGAGCCGCGGCGCCCCGGGGAGCCGCGACCTCTTCACAGGGGCGGCGCGAAATATTGTAAAAGCTTCACAAATAATTTAACGAAGACACGAATAGTCATACTTTCACTTAGGTTAGGTGCCCGGCCCTCTAGCCTAGTTGACTAAACCGGATTGCGCGGTGACCGGGTGACGAACTCCTTGTGGTCCGGGTCCAGTCCCGCAGAAAAGCCACAATTCTCCCAGATTTACGGTATTTACAGTGGAATCAAGGCCGAAAGGTTGCGATATCCATAATACCGAGCCTAAGGGTTAACAACTCATGTCTTCTGGATACTAAAACAAACAAACAAACGACCACTTAGGTTAGGGCGCTGTGGAAATTTATTTTATTGAAAAAAGGCGTCGCGACCAAGAAATGTTTGGGAAACACTGATATACGTAATTTAATATTTTTTCTGTCTGTTTGTATTATCCATGAATCTTATTTGTGTCAGTGAGGTTAAGTTCAGTTCATTCATTTAAGCTTTGCATCTACTTTATTTGTATCCTCAATTGGAGCATTGGTGGATGGGGGGAATCGAGAAGGGAATGATCTACAGGATACAATGATTGTAGGTAGGTTGAGAACTGAGCATCTGAAAACAGGCAGACTAAATACATGTGTGATGGCAACAACAACGGTCCTAAAATATCATGCTCCAGTTGGGGAAGACTTTTCTTTTGCGTGGACGGGTCTTGCTTGTCACACTCGCCGTCGCCATAGGCGGGGATTCCCCATGCCCCCTCCCCCAAAAGCACATTATAATACTATCATCTGGAAAGATGAAAAGATGCCAAAAGGAATATAGGGCCTCACGAAACGTATGCTCCCATTGTGGGTTGGCTCTGTTTTAGAGAACACAGAATGGAACCAATGCTCCCCCCCCCCCTCCTCCCCTCACTAGCTAGCAAGCATGTTGTATGATTCCACTAACTATGGGTATCTCCTTCAAAGTCAGTGTGCATCTGCCTGAGAGGCACAGAACCAACAGTCTGCATACAAATAAGCCTTATTTGGAGGACAACATCAAGAGATGGACAGACATCGGCCTGAGAAAGTGTACAACCAAGAAACGAGATAAAGCGTGTTAGAGACCTTCAGTGTGGAGAGGACATCTGATTGACTGATTGATAGAAGTGTCACCCACACAGTTTATCATGTATTGTTTATTCATATGATCCCTTATCAGGTGGATGAACTGGAGAAGGCCATAGAGAACTTGAATAAAGACATTGAGAAGAGAATGAAGCGAGTCGATGAACAGCTGAAGAAATACGAGTGTGAGCTCTGTGACAAAGCCAAACAGGTGAGAGAATTCTTGTTTTAGCTGCGAATCGATAAGATCAGACCTAATCGATAAGATCAGACCTAATCGATAAGATTAAACTAATCGATCAGACCGGACCTACTTGATGAGATTAGACCTGGTCGGTAAGATTTGACCTGTATGGTAACCAGCCATATTTCCTCCACAAGTCTGAAGTATTTTCATTTCTCTTTGTAATTTAATTTCTTTCAAGACACTTTCCTTACATTTTTATCTGTCCATGTTGTTCTGATCATTATTTTACAACAGCACACCCCAGTAGCTTCCGCGTCCTCTTTCGCTCACTGACAGACTGTCCATGATTTCCTTCTATACATTGTAATCGACTTTATTTAGCTGTGAAAGAACTCGTTTTCTCAGTTCAGTTGAAAAACATAGATTGTGTAGAATAGTCTTCGCCTTCATGTTGCTTTTGCTTGAGCTGTAAGGGGAGATTCTTTTCTGTTTTCTGACTTCCATTGATAGGAATAATGGTTTTCATCTAAGGGGCTACAGTATGTAAGCCAAGTGATGACATGTGAACATCTAACGGCTACAGCATGCAAGCCAAGTGATGACATGTGAACATCTAAGGGCTACATCATGTAAGCCAGGTGATGACATGTGGACATGAGAGCATCCAAGGCTACAATAAGTAAGCCAAGTGATGGCATGTGAACATCTAGGGGCTACAGTATGTAAGCCAAGTGATGACATGTGAACATCTAAGGGCTACAGTATGTAAGCCAAGTGATGACATGTGAACATCTAAGGGCTACAGCATGTAAGCCAAGTGATGACATGTGAACATCTAAGGGCTACAGCATGTAAGCCAAGTGATGACATGTGAACATCTAAGGGCTACAGCATGTAAGCCAAGTGATGACATGTGAACATCTAAGGGCTACAGTATGTAAGCCAAGTGATGACATGTGAACATCTAAGGGCTACAGTATGTAAGCCAAGTGATGACATGTGAACATCTAAGGGCTACAGTATGTAAGCCAAGTGATGACATGTGAACATCTAAGGGCTACAGTATGTAAGCCAAGTGATGACATGTGGACATGAGAACATCCAAGGCTACAAAATGTAAGCCAAGTGATGGCATGCGAACATCTCAGGGCTACTGTATGTAAACCAAGTGATGACATGTGAACATCTGAGGGCTACAGCATGTAAGCCAAGTGATGACATGTGAACATCTAAGGGCTACAGCATGTAAGCCAAGTGATTACATGTGAACATCTAAGGGCTACAGCATGTAAGCCAAGTGATGACATGTGAACATCTAAGGGCTACAGCATGTAAGCCAAGTGATGACATGTGAACATCTAAGGGCTACAGCATGTAAGCCAAGTGATGACATGTGAACATCTAAGGGCTACAGTATGTAAGCCAAGTGATGACATGTGAACATCTAAGGGCTACAGTATGTAAGCCAAGTGATGACATGTGAACATCTAAGGGCTACAGTATGTAAGCCAAGTGATGACATATGAACATCTCAAGCTACAGTATGTAAGCCAAGTGATGACATATGAACATCTCAAGCTACAGTATGTAAACCAAGTGATGACATGTGAACATGTGCTACATTATGTTTGTACGTATGCTTAGATTGCAGATATTGATGACTGCCTGAGTCGCTGCCAACATAACCTCAGTGAGAAGTGCAACGAAGCCTGTGTGTTGGAACAGAAGAACGCCCGCCTGGTCTCTGACTTGTGTGCCTGTAACGCCAAGCTGAAGGAGAGTGAAGATGTAAGCTGCTTCCTGGCTGTTTCAGTGTTAGCTTGTGTGTCTTGGTGGCTATGTTAGTGTTGTCTTCATGGTGGCTATGTTAGTGTTGTCTTCATGGTGACTATGTTAGTGCTGTCTTCATAGTGGCTATGTTAGTGTTGTCTTCATAGTGGCTATGTTAGTGTTGTCTTCATAGTGGCTATGTTAGTGTTGTCTTCATAGTGGCTATGTTAGTGTTGTCTTCATGGTGACTATGTTAGTGCTGTCTTCATAGTGGCTATGTTAGTGTTGTCTTCATAGTGGCTATGTTAGTGTTGTCTTCATGGTGGTTATGTTAGTGTTGTCTTCATGGTGGCTATGTTAGTGTTGTCTTCATGGTGGCTATGTTAGTGTTGTCTTCATAGTGGCTATGTTAGTGTTGTCTTCATAGTGGCTATGTTAGTGTTGTCTTCATAGTGGCTATGTTAGTGTAGTCTTCATAGTGGCTATGTTAGTGTTGGCTTCATAGTGGCTATGTTAGTGTTGGCTTCATAGTGGCTATGTTAGTGTAGTCTTCATAGTGGCTATGTTAGTGTTGTCTTCATAGTGGCTATGTTAGTGTAGTCTTCATAGTGGCTATGTTAGTGTTGTCTTCATAGTGGCTATGTTAGTGTAGTCTTCATAGTGGCTATGTTAGTGTTGTCTTCATAGTGGCTATGTTAGTGTAGTCTTCATAGTGGCTATGTTAGTGTTGTCTTCATAGTGGTTATGTTAGTGTAGTCTTCATAGTGGCTATGTTAGTGTTGTCTTCATAGTGGCTATGTTAGTGTAGTCTTCATAGTGGCTATGTTAGTGTTGTCTTCATAGTGGCTATATTAGTGTTGTCTTCATGGTGACTATGTTAGTGTAGTCTTTATAGTGGCTATGTTAGTGCTGTCTTCATGGTGGCTATGTTAGTGTTGTCTTCATGGTGGCTATATTAGTGTTGTCTTCATGGTGACTATGTTAGTGTAGTCTTTATAGTGGCTATGTTAGTGCTGTCTTCATGGTGGCTATGTTAGTGTTGTCTTCATAGTGACTATGTTAGTGCTGTCTTCATAGTGGCTATGTTAGTGTTGTCTTCATAGTGGCTATGTTAGTGTTGTCTTCATAGTGGCTATGTTAGTGTAGTCTTCATAGTGGCTATGTTAGTGTTGGCTTCATAGTGGCTATGTTAGTGTAGTCTTTATAGTGGCTATGTTAGTGCTGTCTTCATGGTGGCTATGTTAGTGTTGTCTTCATAGTGGCTATGTTAGTGTTGTCTTCATGGTGACTATGTTAGTGTAGTCTTTATAGTGGCCATGTTAGTGCTGTCTTCATGGTGGCTATGTTAGTGTTGTCTTCATGGTGGCTATGTTAGTGCTGTTTTCATGGTGACTATGTTAGTGTTGTCTTCATGATAGCTATGTTAGTGTTGTCTTCATGATAGCTATGTTAGTGTTGTCTTCATGATAGCTATGTTAGTGTTGTCTTCATGGCATCTATGTTAGTGTTGTCTTCATAGTGGCTATGTTAGTGTTGTCTTCATAGTGGCTATGTTAGTGTTGTCTTCATAGTGGCTATGTTGGTGTTGTCTTCATAGTGGCTATGTTAGTGTTGTCTTCATAGTGGCTATGTTAGTGTTGTCTTTATAGTGGCTATGTTAGTGTAATCTTTATAGTGGCTATGTTAGTGTAGTCTTTATAGTGGCTATGTTAGTGTTGTCTTCATAGTAGCTATGTTAGTGTTGTCTTCATGGCAACTATGTTAGTGTAGTCTTCATAGTGGCTATGTTAGTGTTGTCTTTACAGTGGTCATGTTAGTGTTGTCTTCATGGTTGCAATGCTAGTGTTGTCTTCATGGTGGCAATGTTATTGTTGTCTTTATGGTGACTATGTTAGTGTTGTCTTCATGGTGGCTATGTTAGTGTTGTCTTCATGGTGGCTATGTTAGTGTAGTCTTTATAGTGGCTATGTTAGTGTTGTCTTCATGGTGACTGTTAGTTTTATCTTCATGGTGGCTATGTTAGTGTCGTCTTCATGGTGGCTATGTTAGTGTTGTCTTCATAGTGGCTATGTTAGTGTTGTCTTCATGGTGACTATGTTAGTTTTATCTTCATGGGCGCTATATTCCTGTTGTCTTCATGGTGTATATGTTAGTGGCATTGTATGTTGTTCATCAATTATTGCTGAAAAGTAATCAATCGTTAGTCCCTGGGTACCATGGAGACGTGCCGCTGGTTTTAGGAACATCGTCCGCTATGACTGCGAGGTTGACAGTCTCTGCCACATAGTCCACATACACACATTGACACTCTATCATTCTGAGGCCAGTTTTGATCTCAGACGTCTCCTTTCTAACGCTTGCTGCATTTGGCTTACTTCAAACTGCAGCAGTCCATATTTCACTCTCTGCCTCCAATGATAGAGAACACTACTGCACAAAGCAGAGCAATAAAACAATACTCTCCAAACGAAATGCCAATTTGTGTGGCTAGAAATATTCTGCTTAATGACCGCATCAAGTCACAGTCAGTTATGAGTAAACGAGACGTCTGTTATTATTTTAATCAGTATTGCAGCATTAAATTAAACAGCGTTAAAAGTCTATGGTTAAGCACCAGCAAGGAGATCAAAATTAGAATTTTGAGAGCATGCATCTTCCCTGTGGCTACATACGGATATAAGTTGTCGACTATCTCTCAGTCCTTAAGATAGAGAATTGGAGCCTTTGAGCTGAAATGCTTTAGAAAGATTCTCAGAATATCTTGGACAAAGAAGAGGAGAAATAATGACATCTTGAAAGATATGAACATCAAGAAAGATTTGCTAATAAACAGCATCCTGTCTCAGAAGCTGAAATATTTTGGTCAAAATCAAGCGCCACTGCGGATTAGAAAAAAATGCAGAAGGCATGGTACCAGGAAGGAGGGGCAGGGGCCGACCAACACGAGGATGGGCACAGGATATAAGTGACTTCTTTAGTATGAAAGTACATGACAGCTGGTGAGAGACCGAGTTTTTTTAGGCAGACCGTGATGAGAGCGACGTTCTGCAAAGGACCTGCTACATGATGATGATGATTGCAGTGTTAATCTTATGTGCTTCAGTATTGCAAACAAGGTGTATGTATTAACTCTTTCAGGAGCAGTCGACTTACTGTATATTTATTAATTATTCTATACATAGAACAAATGTTCTAATCTTTTCTGTTCGGTTCTTCTGTTACTATAATTATCTGTATTGCATTTGTGACTTTAACTCGTGTGCCTAATAACTGTTTTATTTGAACTCTGTCAGTCATTGGGGAAAAAGATTGGAGCTTTTGAATTGAATTGTTATAGAAACATTCTTAGAATATCATGGATCAGGAAGAGGAAAAACAGCGACATTCTAAACAAGTTGAATATCAAGGAGAACTGGGTCATAAACAGCATCCTGAACCTAAAGTTGAAGTATTTTGGCCACATCAAGCGTCATAGTGGCTTGGAAAAGATGGTGATGGAAGGTGCAGTTTGTGGAAGGCGAGGCAGAGGTCGACCACCGCGAAGATGGATACAAGACATTGAGGATGCATTGGCATTGAAAGCTCATGGGGCCGGAGAGCTGGCTAGGAAAAGGGATACTTTCTAGCGTGCCGTGAAGAGAGCGACGTTCTGTAAAGGACTTGCCGAGTGACCATGAAGACCTCTAAAGGGCTGCTCAACGGTACGCAGACTTTTGGATGGGGAGGTGTCAAAGAAACAAGAACGTGGAATTGAAAGAGTTAACCCTTATTACAGTTTGTATAAAGAATGCGCAAACTATTGATTGTAGATTTTATGCCTGGCATATTTTGTTCATATTTACATTGTTTGTTTCCCCTTTGTTTCCCTTCCCATTAAGTTTACTATTTGCCACTATGTTTTCTGGTTTCTTTCCCTTCCAATCAAATGTTGTCACTATGTTTTCTTGTTTGTTTCCCCTTTTTTTCCCTTCCCATTAAGTTTACTATTTGCCACTATGTTTTCTTGTTCTTTCTCTTCCCTTCAAGTTTACCAGTTTCAACTACGTTTTATGGTTCGTTTCACCACAGACCCCTCTCCCGGCCCCTCCCTCTTCCAAATCATAACTATATTACAAAGCAATGACACAGTGAGTTGTGTAATTCATTCATGGTTATGACAGAGGGCAGTCATGTGTTGCAAACATTTCAGACGAGAGAATGCCTTGGCAAAGCACTGGGCGATCAGCGAGCAGAAACAGCTGAAGTGTCTCAGGAGCTCAGATCCACCAGGTGAGCTTTCTTCTTACAACAGTCTTCCTGCTGATGAATTATGAGGCTTTTTCTTCACATTTTGACAAAAGCTTGTCTGATCTTTTCATTAGCTGTCTCATCCGCCTTGTGGACTCCTGGCCCTACTTTACGAAAAAAAAAAAAAAAAACAACAACAACCCACCCATTGCTTTTAATAAGCATGGTATATAAGTTGCTTCTTATTAAGGATTTGCTAATGTTGGAACTGTTGGACCGAAAGTAATCTATATTGCAGATTTTGTGTTAACTACAACACAACACGTTAACCAACCTTATTTGAGGTACACTATCAAAGTTTGAAAAAATGCTATGAAATGGGCAGACATTGAAAGTCATACACAACAACGGTTAAACAGGATACTGACAGTTAAGTTGATAGGACAAAGGTTAAACAGGATACTGACAGTTTAAGCTGATAGGACAAAGGTAAAACAGGATACTGACAGTTAAGCTGACAGGACAAAGGTTAAACAGGATATTAACAGTTGAGCTGATAGGACAAAGGTTAAAAAGGATACTGACAGTTAAGTTGATAGGACAAAGGTAAAACAGGATACTGACAGTTAAGCTGATAGGACAAATGTTAAACAGGATACTGACAGTTAAGTTGATAGGACAAAGGTTAAACAGGATACTGACAGTTAAGCTGATAGGACAAAGGTTAAACAGGATACTGACAGTTAAGCTGACAGGACAAAGGTTAAACAGGATATTAACAGTTGAGCTGATAGGACAAAGGTTAAACAGGATACTGACAGTTGAGCTGATAGGACAAAGGTTAAACAGGATACTGACAGTTGAGCTGATAGGACAATCTGGACTGTAGTTTTAATCCCAGTGTTGAACGTTGAATTAAAAATCGACATCACAGCACTCGGGACACTTCCATAAGCGCGCTGTCCCCATCTTCAGCAGCAAGTGGAGAGTTCAAATTATGATACCACTCTATAGGGAGCATGCCTGTCTCCTCCTGTCTCAACATACTCTGTGAGTCAGTTACAATTACGAAATCAGTGTGCAGCTGATTATGCAGCCAGCGGAAAGCATAACTGCCTCCACCTCCATTCTCAAGCTAGACTCTGTAATGTCATGTGCCACGCTTTGTTGCTCTAGTGACGTCCATTTGCTTTTGTTATAGTTAATTAGTTAGTCGACAGATTATCCTCATTGCACATGGAACCCTTCAGTCCATAAGTGCTGGGATCCCCTCCATATAAAATCCCGCAGCCTGTAGCGGCTGAGGACACCCGTTCTTTGTTGGTTTCTTATTCTTCTCTGGCTTCTTGCATAGTGCTCTTGTCTGGCTACACTCCTTTAACATGTTGTTATTGCAGTCTGATCATTGTTCTAGATTCACACTTAGTTCTCGCAAAAGTCTTACTTCTGGTAGTGCATTCAGAATATCATCATGGTCCATGGCTCGTACACCCCCCCACAGTAGTTTTATCTGCGAGCCGATCAGGTTGCTCGTTTCCTTACACGCCTGCGTGCCCTGGCACAAATAATGTGAGTCGGCCCAGACTGCTTTAAAAACTCCACCCACTGTCTTCGGATCCAGCCTTTCTCTATCTCCCTGATCATACTTATTGAGTCACGTAGATAGCAGGCGCGAGAAAAGGTCTGTGTCTCCAGCCATGTTGTTGCTTCGGTCTCTGCCATGACCTCCATAGACAGATTACTTGTGGTCGAGGCAACAGCACCAGAATCTTGCTTCACATTCCAAACTCCAGTCTGCGCCGTAAAATCCCAATAACATCTCACATGGCAAGTTACAGACCCATGTGTGTGAATGAAAGCATCCCCCCCCCCCCGTAGAGTACTCAAAAATCAAAGCCTGCACTTCTGCCTCAACAGCGGTTTGACTTTCTTGTCTGAATTTTCTGTCTAGATAGATGCAAGCAGAAAAGGTTGTGCAGCACTCTGTTGGTATTTGTACCCATTCCTCGCCAGATTCTTTGTCCTCAAGTGACAACATCTGCTGAATAATGTATTCGGCCTGGTCCATCCACGATTTTCCTCTTTTTTTTTCTTAATGTCACCATGCAGCGGGTGTAGTGTGTCTGCACTCTCTAAGGTAGACATCTGTTCGGCAAATCTGAATTCTGTCCTCCATGGTTGGAAAATCTAGAAGGTAGCGCATCGCCCTGCAAGCTGTATCTCTTGTACATCCAAGTGTAATGCGCATGGCCTCGTTCTGTATCCTCTCCATCCTCTCCATTCGCTTGGGTCTGAGAGTCGGGATCGCCATCGCATACTCAAAGAGACAAAAGACTAGACCCTGATACAAATGACATAAATGCCGCTGCTCACAGTTTGCTGCAGCCATCGCTCTCATGGCAGTCAAGCCCCGCTTGGGTTTTATCATCACCTGGTCTATGTGTCCAGTATAAGCCAAGCTGCGATCAAATCGTATCCCCAAGTTCTTCATTGCCTGTATTTCTTCCACAATCACTGAGCACAGACTTACAGTAGGCGTTGGGGTGTTGACAATATGGTTATCCAAAGAGAACCACGTTACTGCTGCCTTCGTTGGATTAACCTGTGTACTCGCACACGGTTGAGTTCTGTCTGTAGTTTTCCAACAACCTGCTCTCTGTCTTGCCGATCCACTAACACAACGTCAGGGTACGACATTGTCTACCCCTGTCCTGTGATCCGCTCACATGTGATTCTCACTGTGTATTCGTTGAACAACGTGTGAGATAATGTTGATGACTATGCCAGGCTGATATTTATGGCTGCAGGTTCGAAAGCCCAACTGCCACATCTGAAAATGACATTTTGTTGGAAGAAGGCTGCAGAGATCCAGCTGAGAAGGAATAGACTTATTTTTAGCTTAAGTAGTTGACACATTAAAAAAGTATAACGGTACCTCAAGATCACACGTTTCAATATCTGCGTGGAAACTTTCATACACGTCGTAAGCGATAGTCCAGGTTTCTCTGTTTGGATGGTACCCTTCAAGGGTAGATGCAAGAATATACTGCCTTTCTAGCTGGCACGATGTTTTTTTCTGGTAGTTATCTTCTCCAACAGCTTACCTATAGTATTCTGCATGATGATTATCCGATACCCTGAATTTGCGCATGGTCTTTGCCAGGCTTTGGCAATAGTATCAGGTAGCTGTGTACTCTCTCCTCGTTGATACTAGCATTAGCTATACTGTTGTTGTACAACTCTGCTAGTTTTGTTCAGCTCTTCTTCAGTACACCTTCCAGTGTCATCATACTTCAAACCATCCAAACCTGGTGCGCTGTTTTTTTTGTTTTGTTTGTTTATCGTAGCATAGCCTGGACCTCATCAGCTGTCACTGTGTCTTCTTCATGAATTTTCTGGACCCTACACCTTTCTGCAGTAACCATCCTGGCAAAACTAGGCCCTCTCAAGCCTGTCTGGCTGCTGTGCTGTGAAAATTGTCCTAGCAGGGCCTTGCCCTTATTTTCGTCGGTCCTCTGTCATGTGAGGTCGGCACTCTGAAAGTCGGAAATACTCCTGTTTTTGATAGAATCGTTCATACTGTTATGCAGTCACCAGAACATTTTCAGTGACTTATCTTGACTTATTCTGTGACACATCTCTGCCCACTTCCCACCTGTAAGCACCTTAACTCTTTGAGTCCCAGAGGGTTTAGCATCCCAGGCCCAAGGGGTAATAAAGAGAGACGTAAAATCGGCGCATCTGGCGTTTACTGGGCTTCTAGGTAGGAACCTATGAACGTATAATGCGCTCCTTGGGACTCAAAGAGTTAACCATCTTTTTGAAGCAACCAACTTCTGTTCCCGTGTCTATTTTTTCGGATACAGGACATGACTAGGCTAGGGGCAACTCTATTTCTTTTGGCATTTCGCCACTGTTTTACAGCACAACGCTCATCCGTCCAGGCTTTCTCCATGTCACAATTCCACCCAAGAGGCCGTCGTTAGCTTTTCTTCTTTCCGTGTTGATTCCCGCGGTTATCTCGCCTTAGTTTACACACCACATCCTGTCCTTCAATGTCGCAAGTAAACGTTTTGACTTTTTGGCTTCTGCTTTCTACCTCTGCTTTTGTCCACCAATATGCTACAGGAGAGGTGATAGCTGTCATGGTACCCCAGGACGCTCATCAACACACTCAAACGAGTGAAGAAGAAACCAGAGCCAGGTCAAAAGCACTGTCCTCTTCGCCTGTTCGATTTACAGTCCTGGTGACACAGCCATTGTTGATGCAAACCAGGTCAATGGTTTCAAATGTAGTCTCAAAGCCCTCTCCCCCTCCCCCCCTTTCCCATGTATTGGAAAAATTTTTCCCCTATGCATCTGCCTTTCTGCTTGTGCTATGGACCCCCCATGCACTTTGTTTGCCGCTCAACACTGTATAAATAATCACATTAGCGGGACAGGAATTGTCATGACTAATTAGTTAAACTTCTTATTCTGCAGCACCCGCTGGCCAGTCGCTGCACTCATGGTCCAATGTGACTGGACCTATCTCTACACGAGCCTGATTCTTGCTCGATTCTTGACCAACTTCTCTCCTGGCCCAAAAATATCAAGCCTGCTCACGTCTTATTGTGTCTTTAGCTTGCCCGATTCAAGACCTTTCTCTTTTCAATCTGTGACCCTCATCTCCCCATAGGGCTTCATGCAGGAGGTGCTTCTTGTCTGCAGCTACTCTGAGATATAGTTTTGCTTGCAGAACTTATAGCCTATCTACAATAGTAGGCAGTGCAAGTATCTATCACATACATACTACCGGGGTATCTCTTGTACATCCCAGTATCACCCGCATGGCGTCATTCTGTATGCTTTCAATTTTCGCCAGCTGACTCTTTGAAATGGTAAGCCTTCCAGGTTTATCATCTATCACTGAGGCGATCAGGTTCTGCAACATTGTGAACTGTTTTGATCCAGAACTTGGAGTTTTGCATTGCAATGACTGTTCTTTGTCACTTGCAGACTCCTCTTCCACGCACCGACATAAACACCACGAGTAAAAATGGACGATAGTGAACGACACACATGCGGTTTCACACTTTATTCTCCGCTCGCTGTTTCTTCAACCGGTACGTGATGAAGGATATGTCTAGGTATTGATATCTAAGATTGGTTCAAACTAATGTCAACATTACCTTCGCTGATTGAAACACATCCGCCCATTCCGCAATAACACTTTACCAGACACAACTTTCTCCATGTCGGCGACGAACACAAATCAGCTGGCAGACGAATTCCCGTCAGTCCTTTGCTGCCTGGCCAGGTAAGGCGTTGAAACTACATTCAGACTCAGACAATTAATGGACACAACAAAGACTCCTCCGTTCGACATGCACTCAGTTTCTTGGCCCAAACGAGACTGTCCACACGCTCTTTCTAAGGTATTATATACTCTTCTAACGCCCACATAATAATTACGACTTTTTCATGTTCTCCGATTCACACGGGTTTTATTTGGCCAGCATTTTTTCCGTGATTCACGGCTCTGCCCTTGTTACATTTAAATATTTCACTCATATTTATTAGCTGACGTCATTCCATCTAAAACATAACTTATCAAAGAGAAAATGGTTCACTACATGCATGCACATTCTTATTACACATCCGACACATTTGTAGGCAGTCGGTTAGTTTCTCACCTCTGACAAACAAAAGAATGAAATCTAGCAAAAAGTGAACATGTAACAAACCGGTGTTTGGTGGTCTCTTGCAGGGAACAGCTGCAGCAGAAACAACAGGAGATAATGGACTGCCAGCAACAGCTGTGCTGCAACAACAGGGAGTGGGACAAGTGCAGACGGGAATGTGATGAGCTGAGAAACACACTGTCGGTCAGAACTTTTGTTAAATAATATTTTCAGAGTTGTTATGCTGTAGCAAATGCAAACCTGGAAATCAGGTTTGCACAGAGGTACAGCGACCATCTCTGAAGTGCTCTTTAGTTTTTTCTCATCTGTCTGCTGAAAAAATAAAAAAAAAAAAAAATCGCAAAAATAAACTGTCAGCCTTACCGTCAATGTATTACTTTCTCCGGCATGTGGGGCCTCGGTAACAACCCTAGGGGGGCACAAGTCTTTGAGCCTAAGGAGTTGGGGTTGCATCACCATTGCTGTACATACTGTGAAAAGAGGAACTTACCCCCCCCACCCCTCCCCATCCCACGAAAAATACAGTGGTGAGGAGCAACCGTGGCGCTAGCTGAGCCCTCGTCTCCCGCATGAGAGGCCTCGATGGATATACAATCATACTGCTACTGGGGAAAGGCGAATGCATATACAGTCTACTGCTACTGGGGAGGTTAGATCATATACAATTAGCTAACTGGGAAAAGCAAAAACTACATAAACCCCAGTCTAAAGAGAATGATACAGTGGTGAGGAGCAAGTGGCGCTAGCTGATGGTGAACACTCAGAGGAAAGGCGAGATGGATATACAATCATACTGCTACTGGGGAAAGGCGAGACGGATATACAATCATACTGCTACTGAGGAAAGGCGAGATGGATATACAATCTTACTGCTACTGGGGAAAGGCGAGATGGATATACAATCATACTGCTACTGGTATTGTCATCAAATTTTTTGGCCATTTAGCAACTACCAAAGCAGACGCTATACATGAAAAGATCTGAAGTGAAAGTAAGAGGCCGCCATTGAGTGATGGATCGATGACGTTAAAGAGTTTCTACATCCACACGGAGTGGTAGTAGCCATTGCTGCCCATCAAGCAGTGGATCGCAAGCTGTTCCTGCCAGCTCAATGGCAGAAGGGACAAATTGATGATGATGATATGATAACTGATACTGTCAGCACTGGCTGCTGAAACCATGCATGTGCCACTTACCATGAATATCCAGAGTGCTGTGATGTGGGTTCTGAACTTAAAACAGTGGCTAAAGCTGAGGACCAAAGCATGTGCACGTGGAAAGCCAGGGAAAACTGCGTCATTATTTATCGTAAGGCACTCATCTCAACTAATGTTACAGCAATATCTAGGCATGAAATAGGTGATTTTGTGTATCTGCAGGTGCATTTGAGAGAGTGATATTCTTCAACCGACCTACCAAATGTTGATATCTGATTCAATTGTACTTAATATTTTCCCCATAGTCCGCGCTGTATAGTATAAGTAGTCGTGCTAGCCCACAACCTTCTGTCTTCTAAACTGTCATTTCTAACACAGATGATCCTCCAGACAATAATGGCAAACTTTTCGGAAACCTCCCCACCAACTTCTCTGGTGTCACAATATACTCCAGCCTTTCAGTTCTCACAGTGTGTCAAAAGATTGATTGAACGTAAATGCTATTTCCATTTATATAATTAATTTATTTTAACGTTTGAGTGTTAAGTCCTCAAGTAAAAAAAATAGGGGCTTTTGAGCTGAAATGTTATAGAGAGATTTTCAGAATATCATGGAAAAAGAAGAGAAGAAAATAATGATGTTTTAAAAGATCTGAACATCAAGGAAGATTGGCTAATAAACAGCATCTTGTCTCAGATGCCATATCAAGCGCCATGGCGGATCGGAAACAGTTATAGCAGAAGGCATGGTGTCAGGAAGGAAGAGCAGGAGACGACCAACACGGAGATGTGCGAGGATATAAGCGTTAGATATAAAAGTACACTAAAGAGCATGGGGGGAGAGGGGGGGGGGGGGGGGGGGGAGCTGGCAAGAGTCAGTTTCTTTCAGGCGGACAGTGATGAGAGCACCGTTCTGCAAAGGACCTACTACTGTTTGATGATGATGTTAACGTCTGTATTTTGTTTGTGAAACAGCAACGAGAGATGGAACTTGAGCACCTCAATGAGGAGAAGAACTGCCTGGTCAGCAAAGTTGCCCATCTGACGTGTCGTCTGGAGAGTGAGATTTGCCAGCTGGAAAACCAGCAGGCAGAGATGAAGTGCAGGTTGGAGAAAGAGGTCTGTGACTCCCGTGTGTAACTGTTGTCCACATTGAGATGGTTGTAAATATTTCTTTCCTTGATGCTTCTAATGTTTCTGCTGCTTCTAATCTTTTTCCTCTTTATTCTCCTCATCTGTTTCCTCTTTTTAAATCCTTCTCATCTGTCTTCTGTTTCTTTTCCTCCTCTTTACTCTCAGTATCCTCTACCATTTTCTGAAGCATTTTTCTATTTACTATTCATTTCCCTCGTCTTTCCAAGTCGTCTTATTCTCATCCTCTCAATTTTCTATGTTTCTCATTTTCCATATCTCCCTCCTCTTTTCTAACGTTTTCCTCACCTCTCCTCCTCGTTCTAAAGCGTATTCTCCTCAACAATCTGGTCTTTCTAAACTCGTTTTTCTAAGCATTCCTATTCTCCTCATCCTCTCTCATTTTCCATACCTGCCATTTTCCACATCTTCCTTATCTAACATTTTCCCTATCTTCCTTTTTCTAATCTTATCCATATCCCTTCACTGCCACCGTCTCTGCATTGTCCCCTTTTTTTTCTGTCTGTTGCAACTGTTTCCTCTTTGCTGTTATGTTAGCTGTCTGTGCCTTTTTCGTCTGAATGCGTTGCTATATTTTCTTCTCATTTGTCCTCTTTGTCCAGTTGCTTCTACACTTGCTGCCCAGACTTTATTTCCGCCTCCGCATCTGTGTAGCCAATTGCCGCGTTAGTGTCCTCATATTTCTACCAGGAAGACTCGGCTTTTAAAACTCGGATAATCCGTGTGTGGGTTCCGAGGTCCCATTGTTGTGGGGGAAAAGAGTAGACCAACTGCTCCCAAGAAGGATGTCACAAGAGTAAACTAATTAGGGGTGTTTCCTTTTGTCAGAGTGCATCTGCCTGAGAGGCAAGGAACCAGCAGCCTGAATACAAATAAGCCAGATTTGTAAAGTGGATGTTGCATGCAAAAACTCAAGTTCTGGAACCAAGACAAAGGTCCAGAAGTCGACGTATAAACTGGAACTTTACGCCAAAGTTTACGGCCGGTGAACGTGAGGAAGAATGAAGCCCATAAACTACCTGTTAGAATATGCTGGTATTGATAGTCTTGTCTGATGCTTACAGAATGAAGCTCTACGGATCTACCAGACAGAACTGGAGGAGAACAACGCCTGCCTGGTGCAGAAGCTGGGCACCTGCCAGAGACAGCTCTCCCAGGTGGAGAAGTGCTGCACCCAGAAAATCGACTGCATGAACCGAGAGATAGCGGATCTGATCAGTAAAGTTGCTGACCGTGACGATCAGATCACCCAGTGCAAAGATTGCATAGCGATCAGGGTGAGTGAACTGTCACCTGCAGAGTAGCGTAAAAATATAGTGTTAATGAAGGCCAACTTTTACAACACATTAGAAAGGGCACATATAAGATCCTGACATCCCCCCTCCTCTTCAAACATTATGATAAGGTAACTAAATGTTGAATGTTAACTTGAGAATCGCTATCAAAGCACCCTGGACACTCCCATAAGCGCTCCATGTCCATCTTCAACAGCAAGCGAAGTGTTCCAGTTCCGATAATACCAGTAACTCTCTGTCTAACCTTTTCCTTGAATTTTGAGAGTCTGCCAGATCCCATGGTAACTCCCTTCAGCGCCATTCTCCTCAGACCGTTATAATCTGTTTGTACCTCCAGACTGTGACGCTAAGTACTTATGTAACTGGAGGGAGGGAAGAAGAATGAAGAAGATTTATTTCCCTCAGGGATTGCGGCTTGCGATTGACACCCAGAGGCAAAAAACCACATTACACTTAGATATTGAAACATATCAACTTTGTTTTTTCTTGACAGGATTCATTTTTGAAAATCTGACGTTTAATAATGTTAGTTTAAAAATGCATCAGAATTTTTTAAAATTTACATTTATTTCACAATTTTTATGTATGTTTTATCATTTAAAAAAAAAATTTAAGTTGTAACTTCCTAAAAAAAAAAAAAAAAAAAAAAAAAAAAAAAAATTGGATTTTAAAAAAAAAAAAACTGAGCAGAAAATTAAGTAACAAATGTTGGTGCGGATGTTTGATTGAGACAGTCTGTCCACTGCAGGACTCGGAGATCATGCGACTGAAGCTAAAGCTGTGCAACACAGACACAGTCTGCGGAGGCAACATGACCTGCAACAACAGCAACTGTACAGACACCGGCTACGGCTACAGTGCTGACAACAGGTTTGAACCAGACGACATCGGCAACCCAATCCTGTTGACCTCCTCCCACCTGCAGGAGTGGATCCAGCTGCCCTGCTGTCAGGGCATCAGTGATGGGCAGACTGGCTTAGAAAGTCCATCGTAAGTTACTTTTCTATTTTCTTGTTTGGTTTGTTTGTTCTTGTTTGCTAAATGTGCTACAGTGGAAGGCTCTGTCGTTGGACTAAACCATACAACAAAGATATGAACATGGAACATGAAAACTAAGCATGATCAGCAGCGAAATGAGGAGATGCAACATTTACATGTAAAAGTCTTGAGATCATGCATTTTTCATGTTGAAATTTACGATTGTGAGTCCTGAACTTTCACTCAATCACTGAAGAAAAAGACTGGAGCTTTTGAATTGAAATGTTACAGAACAATTTTCAGAATCAAATGGATCAAGTAAGAGGAGAAACACCGACCCAGTTTAATGCGTGTTTGCTAATTTTTTTTTCTCAGGATGTGTCCAGTATAGTGCTATCTTCGCTGTCTTACATCAAGGAGAACTGGCTCATAAACAGCGTCCTGTTCCTAAAGTTGAAGTATTTAGGTCACACCAGACGTCATGGCGGCTTGAAAAAGATGATGATGGAGGGCGCAGTTTGTGAAAAGCAAGGCAGGGGTCGAGCTCCACGAGGATGGATACAGGACATTAAAGATGCATTGACATTGAAAGCACATAGGGCTGGAGAGCTGGCTAGGGAAAAGGATATTTTTAGTCGTGGGTTTTGTTCTGTAACATAACATAACATAACCCTTGACCCTTTAGGGTCGTGGAGGCGTAGTGATGAAAGCACTAGCACATAAAACCCGCCATCTTTCTCTGTCTTCTACTTAATGAATAAGTGTATGATAACTTAGTTCTGTCCATTTCTTGATGTTGTCATTCCAGGTTCTTCTTTGTCCTCTTATTCTTCGACTATCCCACAGTGTTTCTTTAATTACAGTCTTTGCAATCGAATCATGTCTCACCATGTGCCCAAACCAAGCTAGCTTGCGACGTTTCACTACTGCCAAGAGAGGCTCCTGATGTCCCGCAAATTGGTATATTTTGTCTCTGACATAATTATTAGTTTTGTGTTCTAAATAACTAATTCTCAAAATGCGTCTGTAGCATTTACATTCGAAAGCCTGAAATCCTTCTTTCCATTTCCATAGTGAGAGTCCATCTCTCACATCTGTATAAGAAAAAAGACACCACCAGTGATTTGTAAATATCGAGCTTTCCTGCGATGCTGACTTTGCTCTTCCACATCTTATTCAGCTGCGACATCGCGGCTGTTGCCATATCATGTCTTTTTGTTCTGTGCAGTCACATTGATGTCATTGATGGAATGCAGCACATCGCCTGTAGCTTGTCATCAGCGATCATCTTAGGGATTTCTGTTAGGCATCGTTGTGTCCCTTACTTCCTCTAGTTCCCATTTTAGTGCCTTTTTAGTGATTCTCTGTTCATCCCCCCCCCCCCCTCAGGGTACAGTGCCATCTTGACTGTCCTGCATCTGTTGACTCTAGTGGTTGCCCAGACATTTCTACAATTTCTTCATCCGACTTGAATTCACCCAATTCTATGTTTAACATTTTCCTCAGGCATTGGTTTTTGAATACATAATTTGTTTTTGGATACATCATTTGTTTTTGGATACATCATTTGTTTTTGAATGCATTTAACTTTCATTCCGTGAATTCAGTGGTTCTCCAACTTTTACTGGCAAATGTTCAAAAGTAAATATTAGAAATGAAAATATGTAACTTGGTTCTAAAACTGTATAAGATATGTTTCAAAATCGTAGGTTTGGCAGATGTTTTGTAGCTGCTTCTTCTTGTGGAGGATGTTGTGAAATCATCATCATCATCATCCACTAACACTATGTCTCGTTGGGTCACCAGTTTCTGTTGATTGTCTGATCAGCTCTCTCCACTCCTGGCGGTCAGTTGCGATGGACTTCATGGTTGCACGCCTGAGGCCTGTCCAGTCAGTCAGGTTCTGTAACCAGGTCTTTCTTGGTCTGCCTCTTTTCCTCTTTCCCTCAAGTATTGTTTCTGAGAGGCCATTAAATCTTATTTCATGTCCATACCATTTCATTTTTCGACTTTTCACTGTAGTTAAAAGAGGTTCATAGTTGCCAATGTGTTGTGAAACAGGTTTATTTGTGTTGTTGTTTTTTTTTTTTTTTTTTTTTAGATATACTTATTTTGTAATATTCCCTTCATGCCTGGATATTGTGCAGTTGATCCTGTGTCCATTCATCTGTAATAATTACTTTTTTTTTTTGTGGTAGAAATTTTGAAAAAGTTTTTTTTAGCAGCTAGCCTAATTGTAATAATTTTATCTTGTGCGCATATTTTGTAATATTTTCCTTATAAGTTAATTATTGATCAATTAATTAGATTATTTTTATAATTTTAATAGTTGAATCTTTTGCACATATTTTGTAGTATTTTCCTTATAAGTTCCTTATAAGCAGTTGTTTTTGCTTCAAACAAATTATATATAATTTCATCGTTTAAAAATCATTTACAACTTTTAATTAGATAGTTGTTGTTTAAAAATTTCACTCTAGGGAGACACAGTGTTTAGTATATCGCAGGAATAGTTTATTTTTTGTAACTTTATACTAGAAATTGTTGAATAATATATTGCATTTTTTTCTGTTTCTTAGAGGGAAAGTAGATCCAGCTTCTATTAATGCCTGCACTGGTGAGAAACCTGTTTACTGTGAGTTAATTATGTTTGTGTGTGTGTATTTGTATATAAAACACACACACACACAAACACACACACACACACACACACACACACATAGTAACATGAAAAGCTATAAAATGTGATTAAAAATAGACCAGCTAGCTTTACAATATCACAAACACATGCTAGCTTTACAATATCACAAACACAAGCAAGCTTTATAATATCACAAACACTAGCAAGCTTTACAATATCACAAACACAAGCAAGCTTTACAATATCACAAACACAAGAAAACTTTACAATATCACAAACACAAAAAAGCTTTACAATATCACAAACACAAGAAAGCTTTACAATATCACAAACACAAGACAGCATTACAATATCACAAACACAAAAAAGCTTTACAATATCACAAACACAAGCAAGCTTTACCATATCACAAACACAAGAAAGCTTTACAATATCACAAACACAAGAAAACTTTACAATATCACAAACACAAGAAAGCTTTACAATATCACAAACACAAGAAAGCTTTACAATATCACAAACACAAGAAAGCTTTACAATATCACAAACACAAGAAAGCTTTACAATATCACAAACTGTAAAAAGCTTTACAATATCACAAACACAAGAAACTTTAAAAATATCACAAACACAAGAAACCTTTACAATATCACAAAAACAAGCAAGCTTTACAATATCACAAACGCAAGCAAGCTTTACAATATCACAAACACAAACAAGCTTTACAATATCACAAAGACAAGCGGAAAGTGAACCTTGTGCCTTCGTCAGCAAATTACATTAATCAAACGAAACCACACAAATACACAAAATCACTTAGATGCAGCTCCTAGAATATCATGGGTAAGTCAGAGATTACTGACGGGGAAAGAGCTGACGTATTCCCGCTAGCAGCCACGTTGATGTCTGGCCAGTGAAACGAAAAGATACCCGCGGCTGAAGAATAAATAGACCAAGAATGCCAAGTGCTGTGATTGAGGATAACAAGTATAGAAGCCATTTTCATGTCATGAGGCATGCTTGTTATGCATAGCAATTTTTTTTTTTTTACAAGTGCAGAAAAACAAACATGTATTCCAAGCAACTCTCTCTCTCTCTCTCTCTCTCACTCTCTCTCACACACACACACACGCACGCACGCACGCAGAAACACGCACACACACACACACACACATATTTAAGAACGTTAGCTTTTCTTGTGGAAGACCCAGCTTCAGATCCTCGGTAGGGTCAATGATTATTTTCTGTTGAGGGCAAAAACAACAAAAACACAACAACAACCATAACATAACCTGCACAGTCTGTGGCGGCTGCATTACCCATGCTCTGTTAATGGTTTTAACCCTCTGTAATGCTAACGTCAGTATTCTCCTGAAATTATTTTCAATGGTCCCATTGTTCATTATGAAGGCAACTATTCAATTTTTACAAGGGGAAAGTCATTAAGTAAAGGCATTTGCATTAATAGGTTTTTGTTAGAAGTGCCCGGAATAAAATTGTTGCGTGTCCTATTTCTCGACTTAGTCTCCCTGCCTTGAAACACATGTAGTCTCCTGATTAACAAGATTGTGGATACTCACCAGTTAGAAGCTTCTGGGTGCGGCCAGTAATCAAGTTTGCGATCCCGACATCACCTCATTGTCATCTGCACATCTTTTACCCTACAACTGTTCTTTCAATGGGCCATACACATATTGTTAAATTTGTCACGACACATACTGTGGGTACTGCAAAGGAATCATTAGGTGTCCTGAAATAATATTGTTTCTTCTGCATACTGTTCAAGGCAGACAAGGATACTGGGCTTTACTTAGTGACTTACCCTTGTACTGTGAGGGACCATTTGTATCTTTCTCGTTGTTGATGTTTCAGTGTCACCTCTGGGAACCACGGGAGAGATTACTGAAAGTCAAACATCAAACTCCAGAAACATCATAGGGTAAGTCAGCGATAACTCGTGATGAACCATAAAATTCCAGATAAGTTATGGGGTACGTTTGATCACATTGATGTTAAATGTCACCTGTGGGAGCCATGTTAGATATTTACTGACAGCAAATCAGCAAACTCTAAAAACATAAATGGGTAAGTCGAAGATTACTGGCGGGGAAAGAGGCAGCTCCTAGAATATCATGGGGTAAGTCAGAGATTACTGACAGGAAAAGATGCAGCTCCTAGAATATCATGGGGTAAGTCAGAGATTACTGACAGGAAAAGATGCAGCTCCTAGAATATCATGGGGTAAGTCAGAGATTACTGACGGGGAAAGATGCAGCTCCTAGAATATCATGGGTTAAGTCAGAGATTA